GCTTCTAGACTTCGATGAAGCCGCTGAAAAATATCTTTACTGCACACGCTGTGGTGTTCAGCATAGAAGAACGGCTTTAAAAATAATTTACTTTTTTGTGTTAATATTTGGCGCAGCTTCTCCCTTTTAGATTGAATTTCTTTCCAAAAAATCCATGTTGACACACAACGGGGGATGTGGGCATGACAAGTCTTCGCATATTTTGTCTGCTTGCCCCTTCTTCGGACTTCGAACTACACAACACGAAAGCAAGGCGCTGAGGAGAATGCTTTCGACCTAAGTGAGAGGTAGTAAAGGGAGATTAGAGAAAATTGCATATCGAGGACTTCGATATTGTGTTTCCTTCGTCAAATATTGCTAGGGTGATCAAAGGAAGGAGGTTGAGGTATGGGACATGCAGCATGCATGGGAGAGATGAAGTATGCATACAAAATTCTGGTCGGAAAATCTGAATGAAAGAGGCCACATGGGAGTATTTAAATTTAGCTTGAATGATAATATTAAGATTGATCTTAAAGAACCATTGTGCGAGGGTTCAGCCTGGATTCGTCTGGCTCCATATGGTGGGCTGTGGCGTGCTCTTATGAATACCGTAAGGGACATTAAGGTCCTGCAAGGTACAACGAATTTCATGACAAGCCAGGCAACTGTTAGTTTCCCGACAGTGACTCAGCTCCATTTTAGCTATATTTGTGCCGTTGGGTATCCTTAGGGTTTCATGGGTTTACTCAGTACCTCGAAGCCATATTCCTTCTAAGCTGGCGCACGCGGCCGCGCGTCAGCTATTGCACTTCCGCGCATGAGTCTCATTCGCCCGTGCATTTTTATCGGTTTCGTATATAGCAGTTTGAATTAACAGAAATAAAACTGAAAAAGTAAACTACAATTTTTGGGGCCTGTCATGGGCCTTTGACCACCTCTGTGGTCTAGTGGTCAGAGTTCCTGGTTACAGATATAGAGGTCCCGGGTTCGATTCCCGGCGCTACCAGATTTTTTGAGAAGTAGAGGGTCTGGAACGAGGTCCACTCAGCCTCGTGAGGATAATTGATGAGCTATTTCAAGGAAATAGCGGCTCCGGTCTAGAAAACCGAGATTAAAGGCCGTGGAGATCCGTTTTGCTGACCACGTGACATCCTCTATCCGCAAAAGTTTGCACTAACTTCGTCGACAAGCGGCGGACGCTCGGTCGGTGGTATTGTTTGCTCGCGGACTACAGGCCATGGAGTGTGTTTATGGACATTTTCGAAAGTCGCTTCTCCACTCCTTGTTGCCCAAGCCAAACGAATTGCAGCTCAGAAGACATCATGACTTGCGCACTAGCATCCCCGGCGTAGATATTTTAAAACTTAGTTCTTATCTCTCAGAAAACAAACCAGAGCTCCATTATAATCGCTTAATTATTGCGTAAACAATCGTTCTTTATTCTGAGAAATAAATGAACAAACAAACAGCGCGGCAAAATATCGGGTTGTTTAATGTTAAAGCAAGCAGTACAGCTAACAACTGCTTAAAAGAGTTAAACATAAAATGGCGATTCTGATGCACATACGAAGGGGGACCCAAAAATAACTGGAACCGACCTGTTGCGCGCGCATGCTTTGTAGTTACGAGTTGTGCTGCTAGGTGGTGTTAGCTGGGGGTCTCCCGCGACTGTTAGTGAGCTGGCGTCAGTCTGAGTTAAGTGGTTTGTCTGTGGTGCTCTGTTGTGTTGTTTCAACCCTTTGGCGATTAGCGAGATGGCCGACCAGAAGGAACAAAGAGTGTGCGTGAAATTTTGCTTTCTGTTAGGGAAAACTGCAGCCGAGACTGCTGGGATGCTTCGGCAAGCCTTTAATGATGATGTTTTGGGGAAATCACAGGTCTACGAGTGGTTTTCCCGTTTCAAATCTGGCATCATGTCAACAGAAGACATGCCACGCCCCGGGCGTCCTTCGACAGGAAGAAATGACGAAAACATTGCCAAAATCAAACGTGCAATTGATGAAGATCGTCGAAAGACCATTGACCAACTTTCTGAGGAAACGAACATCTCATGGAGCACGGTCCAGCGAATTTTAACCGAAGGTTTGCACATGAGACGGGTGTCTGCAAAATTTGTTCCTCGCTTGCTCGGAGATGACCAAAGAGAAAACCGCGTGAATGTTTGCCGCGACTTGAAGAGTGAAGTGCAGAACGATCCAGAATTTCTTAAAAGAATTGTGACTGGCGATGAGTCTTGGTGCTACGGGTACGATCCAGAATCAAAGCAATCATCAAGCCAGTGGAAAACTCCAACTTCACCACGACCGAAGAAAGCGCGTCAAGTGCGATCCAATGTGAAAAGAATGTTGATTTGTTTTTTTGATGTGAATGGCATTGTCCACAAAGAGTTCGTTCCGCCAGGACAAACAGTGAACCAACATTTTTACCTGGATGTGTTACTAAGATTACGAGAGAGTGTGCGACGAAAACGGTCCGAAATGTGGAGAAATGGCAACTGGTTACTTCACCACGACAATGCTCCAGCCCACACAGCTTTGACGGTCCGACAGTTTTTGACAAGCAACAGCATGGTGATTGTGCCTCATCCACCTTACTCACCCGACCTGGCTCCGTCGGACTTTTTTTTTGTTTCCACGGATGAAGAGAAGTCTGAAAGGAAAGCGATTCCGTGATGTGGATGAAGTCAAAGAAAACACACTAAAGGCTTTGAACAGTATCCAGCCTCAAGAATTCCAGCACTGTTTTGAGCAGTGGCAAAGGCGTTGGGACAAGTGCATTAATGCACATGGACAATACTTTGAAGGGGACTAATATACAGTTCAATAAAAATGCAAAAATTAAAAATAACAAAAATAAATTCCGGTTATTTTTGGGTCCCCCCTCGTATATTAACAACTTGAACCGGAAATTTGTTTCTTCTTTTCGCGTTTTGATGTGAGATATCTGGGGATTATGTTATCTCCTAAAATCCTACTCTATAGAAACCAGTTTCATCATGACTTTGGGTGGGAATTTCCGAAAGCGCCGATCTGTCTCCTAAAACAGAACCGACGGAGCCTAATGTAACGTGGAGGAACCGGCGTTAACTTCATTTGTTAGCTGGTACTGGGAGATAAGAAGCGAGAGCTTCTGAGTTCAATTAACACGCCCATGTGTAACAGGCCGGATAACACGGACACCACAATCACGGGGTTAGCTGAGGCCTTTGTTATCATGTTGTTTTAAACTGGCATGTCTTGTAACATGTTTTTTTAACGACATTTCTCTTGTTTTGTTGTTTCAAGGCGAACGTGGTTGATGTTGTTTGCTTAAAGCCGGTATTGTCTTTGATGCTTTTTTGTTTAAGGCCCAATTATCTTGTTTCATTGGAAGTACAAGATACGGAGACTACTTTCCTTAAGCCATTACTGCAAGCTCAGCTGCGATGCTGCGTGAGGCCTTCCGTAACAGCTTATGGAAGCCAGTCCGCTCTCCAATTAGATACTTTGCATAATCCGTCATGTTAATCTTCGATCAGTTTGAATCACATTAATTGGTCTATTTCCAGAACAGTTTCTTAACACCTCCGTTACAACTCGTGAACATATTTCGGATTTAATGATAATATAATTTCAGTCGTTCAATGCTATTACGTGAGAAAATTTGCATCATACGTGTATTAGTTAGATTAAATTTTGGTTGTGGATAACTTTTCTGTAATTAACAATCAACGTTCATAAAATTCATTGTTGTTCTTGTTGTTGTTTAAGCATTCTATATAAGTTCTTTCACACACTAATTACGGTATATTTCACACACACACATCACCCTTAGCACACCTACCATTTGTTTCACCACATCTTCAGGAAATGGAAGCGTGGAATGATGTTTTGGTTCCTGCACGTGACAAGGAGGGGTGTGTTCAAGGGAGCCTGGTCTTCTTGACCCGTAGACCCTCGAATCGCCCAAATTATCGATAAATACGCCTTCCACAGGGAACACTACATAGGATTTGAGGTTCTCACAGAGGTAGTTATGAAGATGGAGGCGACATGTTCCTCCGAAACGTTGGCTGACTTTCAATGGCCTACCCGCCGTTATATCACAGAAGATAGAAACTCTTCCTACTGTACTACTCTTTCCACTAATGAAGGTAACGGGTGAAGTTGTCGCTGTGTTTAACTAATTAAGCACTACGCCATGAAGGCGTATGGGGGAGTGGATATATAGATCCACATATTTATTGACCTTAGCACTAGCTGGAAGTGATTGATCAGCTTCAGACCTCGGTCGCTTTATGTTCGGAGAAAGAGCCCCGGTACCCATTGGGTAGGAGGTTTGGTGAGCCCCAGGGTCAGTCTGGACGACGTGGAGAAAAAAAAATTCATGACTGTACAGGGGCTCGAACTCCGACTACTCAGCCGAACAGCTCGTAGCCAGTCGCTGCACTAGCTGTGCTACTTCGGTTCCCCGCTAGGTGAGCCCCAGGGCCAGTCTGGACGACGTGGAGAAGAACAAATTCTCGACTGTACCGGGGCTCGAACTCCGACCACTCTGCCGTACAGCTCGTAGCCAGTCGCTGCACTAGCTGTGCTACTTCGGTTCCCCGCTAGGTGAGCCCCAGGGCCAGTCTGGACGACGTGGAGAAGAACAAATTCTCGACTGTACCGGGGCTCGAACTCCGACCACTCTGCCGTACAGCTCGTAGCCAGTCGCTGCACTAGCTGTGCTACTTCGGTTCCCCGCTAGGTGAGCCCCAGGGCCAGTCTGGACGACGTGGAGAAGAACAAATTCTCGACTGTACCGGGGCTCGAACTCCGACCACTCTGCCGTACAGCTCGTAGCCAGTCGCTGTACTAGCTTCGCTACATCGGTTCCACGCTAATGATGGTAACCCAAATTTAACATTTGTTCACACAGCGTAATCTGTTGACATCATACAACAATGCAAAACAAAAAGAATCATAAATGTACTCCCAGTGCTTAAAAAGTATCCTGTAGCCAGAATTTTGTTTTAATTCTCCGTGTTCTTATTTCAGGTCAGTTTTCGTCAAATTATAAGATAACAATTGGAGCTGACTTCTCCATCAAATCTCTGCAATGGGACGAGCAGACAAAGATCAACCTTCAGCTCTGGTAAGTACAGCAATTTTTTTTTTATTATTTATTAAGCAATCAGAATCTACAATTATATAAGCTAGTTTGCTGGCGTAAGAGCTGTGATGCTCTTTAATGACGTGATCAGTCCCTTCTCCAGTGGGAGGTTCCTCTTAGTTTTCTTTTAGGTCAGCTAGCCAGTATCTTCGGAGTCTTCGATTGTGATGCGGTTCAACGAGTGGCTGTAGTATGTCGTTTGGGTGATTTGCTAGTTTGTTGTGTTGTGTGGTACTTTTTTCTCTGATGACGTCAAGTACAGCAATGAAAGCGAAAAGATACGTGTGCCGCTAAATTGCAAGGCCCATACAGGAAGCAGATGGTAAGAAGGAGAGTTGCCCCAGGATACTACTGTAATGCACCCATTGCATGGCAGGATCTGGCAGTGTCACAAGCTCTAGTGCTATAAGAAGCGTCCCTGTGCTTAATTAAGCACTACCCCATAAAGATGTACAGGGGAGTGCATGTATAGATTACGTAGTCTTGACCTCGGCATTAGCTGGAGGTGAGTGGTCAGCTTCACGCCCCGATCGCTTTACACCCGAGGAAAGAACCCACTTACCCATTGGATAGGAGGATCTGTGGGCCCCAGCACAGGTCTGAACGACGTGGAGGAGACTCGAACTCCGACCCCTCTGTCGTCCAGCCCGTCGCCATTCGCAATACCGACTACGCTATTGCCGCTCACAATATGCCGCGTATATTTATCTTAATATTATTAGACCCTTTCTACGTTTAGAGTTTTAGAATTTGGATTGTGGCGGGCCCTAATAATAGCGTAACGATCTTTGGGTTCTGTAAAATGTAAGGAATTTCTTGAGTATACAAGCGACTGCTAGCTCCTAGATAAAGTATCCACTCCTTGGATTCCGTTCCTGTTCTTGTGTTGGCATGCATAATTCATTTTATTGAAAATCCAGAAATAGCTCTAGCTATTGAGAAGCGGCAGGAGAGGTTTGTATCAGTGATCATGGGTATGGAAGGGGGGAGGTCAGGCGCCTGTCCCCTTGATTTTTGGAGGAAATAAACGTTGAAGAAAAGGAAATGGATTATACCGAATATTAATAACAAAAATTAGAGATATTTTATAAAGAACATTCTTCTGTCCTGATTACTCTAGTGTGATCAGTAAAAGTGGTCTTAAACGACTTAAACTGTCAGTTTTTAAGCAAATATTCCGGTTGCACCTTTGCAGAAGCAGCTGCCCCCTTCTTGTGAAGAATCCGGGCAGTGGCCATGGTAAAGACCTCGTGAAAAAAATAAATCGACTAATCACAAAATCTGTAAGGTCATAATCCGGCATTTACAGTAGAAGAAGGCACCCGCTTTCAAGTTGGTTTCATCCCAAATTTCCTTCGACCCTGAAGTTGGAGGCTATATGTTGCTCCGAAACGTCGGTTCACTTTCAAAGAATCGCACTTCATAAACACTGTGTGAACTTCGGATCTTACAGATGAAATTTGTTGTGCAACTTGGCCTGTCACATAAGAAAAAAATATGGACTCAGGGCATTTGAGAACAGGGTGCTGTGGGGAGGGGGAGATTTGGACTCTGCAAGGAGGAGTAACAGAAGTTGGACAAAGATATATAACGAGGACCTTCATGATTCGTATTTCTCGTTAAATACTATTAAAATGAGATTGATTGTTTTTGTTGCACGCATGGAAAGGAAGATACATACAGAAGTTTTGGTAGAGAACTTAGAGGAAAGAGGCCAACTGGAAGACCCAGATCTTGAGGAAATAAGATGGGAGGTTGTGGACTGGATTTATCTGGCTCAGGATAACGACCAGTGGCGGGCTCTTGTGAAGAAGTAACGCGCCTTCAGGTTCCACTGAACGGTGGGAACTTCTTGATTAGCTGAGCAACTATTAGCTTCTTAAGAATGACTTCTGTTCCATGGTGTAGTTAAGTAAGTCAGATAAAATTCGTTCTCTCTGCGCTACATTGTCTTACAGAATCGATTTTATACAAGTACGAAATCGATTCTTGTGGAAGCCAGTCAGTAGTGTAAAAAATTGCAGGAGGAAGACAAAGTTATTGAAAATTAATTTATTTTATATTTTGCATCCCCGTTCTTTCGCTGCTAAGTCTGAGCAGATGTTTATGGGGATGATTGATTAAAGGATGGGTAAAAAAAAGTAAAGCTATCCCTGTAACAGGCCGTGAAGGCCCATAGGGTTGTGAGACGTTGAGAGTCCCATATTATTAAAGGATGGGTAGACATTTTAAAGGGTCCAGCATGTACGAGTGTGTCTCTCCCTGCCCCCACAGTCTGTAAGGGAGCGGATTACCTCAACTGGTAAAGCCTTTGACGTGTATCAGGAAAGTACCGTGTTCGAATCCCAATCTAACGACGGATATCTTGAGAATTTTCGTTTCTTTCATCAGTCCTTTAAGAAAAACATCGAGAAAATTTCTCGAAATAGGCATTTCTTCCTCATTTTCAGATCACTAGATATTCGCCCTTTAATCTCATTCGACGCGAAGTAACCTCTGATTGTAACCCACTGTGTCGTCATTACCCAGCTAACAAACTGACCACATGGAGCTCGAGAGTTAGAAGTATTACGAACAGTTCGACAGCGATGTTCGGTTTTATTGAATGATGGAGATATTAAAATTCTGGAAGATAATACTCTGCTCGTGTTAGATACTTGAACAAAGCAAACTGTTGGAAACTGCGGCTAATTTAACGAACTAATATTGGTAACGTGTTTAAATTAAGAAAGGTGGGATGGGCAGGACATTATGAACGCGCAGTTAAAGACGAAATTCATTCAACATTTGGTCTGAAAACTCCCACTGGTAGAGATATTGGTGTGGATGAAAGGATAATATTGAAATGGATTTGAGATAAAAAGCGATTGCGGTTATACGAATTGATTAAAATATTTCATGGTATGATCCTTTGGCGGGTGTGTGAGCATGATGATTGTCAGTTATTCAGAGAATTGATTTTTCATGGAGTGTGTTAGTTGGGTAGTTAGTTAATTAGTTTAAGTAGAATAATTGGGATAATTGTCTGAAGTTTTCTGACAATTGTTGCCTCATTTTACCCATGGGCAACGTCCATTTTCTTAGGTGCATTTGTTACACACGAAGTTTCTGAAAAGACTCTTTCTGTTACCAGGTATCGAAACACGATTCCTCGGTCGTCCAGCCCATAGCCTAGTCATTATACTGATGGAGCTGTGAATACTCTTGATATTATGGAGAAAGAGGCCATGACTACTCCCACCAATGTTTTTCGTTTACACTCTCATCTAATTTCACTCTACAGAGACGTTAAATGATACACAAACTAATCTTAAAAGTTGGTAATGACCAGTTACTTACATAAAGACCTGTGTCTTATCCTGACCATAGATTATTTTCAACTTAACATTTCCATAATCACTTGAGAATATTATAACGCAATTAGGAGAGTGACAGATTTTGGGTTTTATCAAACAATCAGGGGTTTTATTCTCTGTAGAGTGGGTTCATTCTCCCCAGTACCACGTTCTGAATGTCTCTAGGACCCATGCAACTATGGCAACAGGGGCTCTTTCTTCAGTAGGAAAGAATACCATTGTGTGAAACTGATTATTTGCCTCCACCAGTATTTACATTAGATTTGTCAAACATGTATCCATATCTCTGTACTTCCCGTAAATGTAATGTACGGGTGTGTACAGGAATAGGGTCTACCTGGACCTGGCATAACTCTGTCATATAGTGACTGGCTACAGGATGGAAGGTTGTGGTTCGATTCCTGGCAGGGACAAGAGAGTTTTCTCTCCTCCACACTGTCTAAACCAGCTCTGGGACCCACACATCCTCCTATACAATGTGTAGGTAGAGTGTTTCAATGGCAGTAAAGCAGCCGGGGCGTGAAACCGACACTCACCTCCATCTAGTGCCAAAGTTAAGAATGGTGGAGCTATACCTGCACTCCCCCATATGTCTTAATGGCGTGGTGCCTAATTAATTAAACACAGGGACAAATTTAGGTTTCTTTTTGCATTCTGTCACCTCCACAAACCCAGTAAAACATACACATGTAACAAATGTATAAATATATAGTATCTAGATTGCTGTGTTCCCCTCATGACCATAATGTTTCATTTAAATATGTTTGCAGGGACATTGCAGGCCATGAGCGGTTTGGTTACATGACCAGAGTTTATTACAAATACGCGTGAGTAGATGTTCTTACTTCATATTAGCATAGTGCAGAGGTCAGATATAGCATTTAGGTCTGTTAGAACATCATTCAATTTTGTAATATAACAACGTACAAATACATGTTGAGGTTGATAGATATATGCTCTGGGCCTTTCTAGATTACAAAAATACAACAGAGGACATTAAAATTAAAATAATGTGCTCAATTCTCATAATGCTAATATGAGACTTCAGTGAGAATGTGTACTACAGGTGTTTCCTGCTGTTAATTAATGTGTATATGTGAGTGAGCCAGGTAGTGGATTTATGGAGTATGACAAGCCACAAAAGAGAAACATTAAAAAAAAAATTGGCAACAACAGAAGATAGTTTTACAGGGAGAAATTATGGTGCCAAATAATGTATTTCAGGTACATAATATAAAGATTTCAGGAGGTATTTGAAAACCAAAATGCGATGAGATATTTTACTGATTTTGAGACCTATGCAGGCTTGAAGGTAAAGTTGTTCCTATATTTAATTAAGCACCATGCTGCAAAAACATGTGAATGAGTTCATGTATAGTGCCATGCATTATTTATTTTGGCACCAGATGTAACTGAGTGGTCAGTTTCATGCTCCAGCTGCTTTATCCTGAGGAAAGGTTCCCACAGTACCCATTGGGCAGCAGGCTGGGTGGAACACTGAGATGATCTGGATGCTTTTGAGAAATCAGATGTCTTTGCTTCTGCCAGGAATCAGACCCTGATTTCTGATTTTGTCCAGACTGAAACCTAGTAGTAGATGGAAAAACCAGTTTAATTCCCAAGCCTTGTATAATGCTTCACAGCACCAAATTCTGCTGAAAGAAGAAGGTACTTTATATAGATAGCAGTTTCCAAACTTTCTTATGTGAAAATTCTGGGTATTCTTATGTTAGATTGTGTAATACAAAGGGTAACTTGCCTTCCATTCTGTCACAGTTCTGTTACAGTAATTATATTGCATTAATTTACAATTTTCTACTGAAATGTTTGATAACCTCTTAACATACTTTGGTTTCTGAACCGATTCACAGGACTTTTTAACATCTTATGTCAGAGGGCAGTGAAAGTAAAGACCACCAACACACCCAACTTTCATTAGTACATTGTTCAGTGACAAGAAAGCAGCAATATTTTGACTGCATGAAGTAGGTTAATACAAAAGTATTGTTAATAACATTATTTTATTTTGCAGTTTAAAAAGGTTATACTGATGAAAGTTACACATTTTCTTTACGATATATCACCACATAAATTTTCTTGGTCTTTTATTAACTCCCACCCCACAAATATATATGACAGTCATGTTGAAATTATTCAATTCACAGACTAGAAAAGTAGGTAGGTGGGGTAGTACTCAGTGATACCACATATCTTATCACAGAAAGTTCAGAAACCTTTTCCATTTTCAGAGTTGCTGCGGCAGTGGTATTTGATGTCTCCCGTACCCAAACCTTTCAGTCTGTCTCAAAGGTCAGTAACAAAATTGTATGTAAGCTTTGATTTGATGTTGAATTGAGTGTAGTGAGTTTCAGTTCATAATTTCCCTAGAAATTCCTCAAAAAACAGAAACATAAATTTCATACAGAAAAATGCTGAAACTTTATAGGCTCTATTATGGAGTATGAAGTAAATACAGACAATAGTATGTATATGTCCACATCTGTTTGCCAGAATTCAGGACAGAATCATAATATAAAGTTAATAAAACATAAAGTTCCTACATTTAGGAGCAATTGTAATAGATTAAAATTACATTCAAGAAGAAATTAACAACAGATTAAATTTCTCTTATACCATTCACCTTGCAATCATTTATCTCTTCTGTCTCCAACCTAAAAACTTAAAGACTAAAATACATTAAACTGTTATGTGGATTTACTCAGGCATGATAGAAGGTAAGATAATTATCCATGCAGGTTTACAGAGTCATACTTAAATATATATTACATTAATTTTTCAGTTACATATTTTTAATATCACATTAAATTAGATCTTTGTTTTATGATTGGTGTAGTCCCGCTACAAATTTGAAAATGATATGTTTCTGTTTCTTTTTAANCATTCCAAGCCATTCAACTGCTCTGAAGATGGAGGCGCTACGTTCCTCCGAAACGTCGGCCAAAACGAAGAATACACGGTGCCTAAACCCAGAAGACGACTTTCTTCATTGTCATCGCCGTGAAAACCTCAAAACTTACAATTCTAGAGAAGTTTAAATTTTGAAAGAGACACAGCCTATAGTAAGATTACTATATGTCATGCATGGTACATAATACATGTCACAATCCAAAATTAATGAAATATTTTAGAATGTAAGAGATTTTGGAAAGCAAATTGTTGATATGAAGTAGGTCTCCAAAAGAAACAATAATAATACATAGATGTAGCAGTACATTCAGACAGGAATGTAATACAGAAGGGGGCTGAAAATAGATTAAAATGTAAAATTATACAAGCACAGTAATTCAGAGAATGTGGCATATGAAATGCTTTGGCATCCCAGTAGTCTCTTTGGGCCACAGGAACTGTAGCTAAGGGACTCGAGAAATGGAAGAAACAGTACCAAGAAAGCATTCAGTATATTATTTACCCTCCTCCCAAATATAGCTATCTAGGAAAACTGCATATAATGAGGAAAGTATTGCAATCTTGAAGCCTAAATGGAGGAATTCACCACTGGTTTATTAGGAGAAATGTAAGAAAACCCTCAGTAATAGGATGAGAAAGAGATGATGATGATGATGATGATTATGATAGTAGTGTAATTATAAGTATAAAAATGGTAAAATTGTCCATGTGCTTCAAACTCAGACAGGTACCCCCAGTACCCATTGGATAAGAGTTTGTGTGGTCCCCAGAGCCGGTTTGGACACTGTGGAAAAGAGAAAAATCTTTTGTCCTTGTCAGGAATCGAATCCCAACTGTCCAGTTCATAGCCTGTCACTATACTAACAGAGCTATCCCGGCTCAACTACGTACAAGTATAAAAGTGAATATAAATGAAAAAAGATAAAAATGTTAATAATGTACAAAATATATGAATGATTTTGATATTCTTTTAGAAGGGCAGTACGAAGCAATAAATTTTGGAACCTCTGTTTACTTTGCAATTTGCAATTACACGCTTCAGCCAGTTTCCTTTTATTCTACTTTGATACATGTGGGTACTTTTGCTTATAAAAAGTTGAACAGTTCTTTCCAATGTGACTGGTGAAGATTTTCTTATTTCAGTTCTTCATAATATTGTTAGTGTGATGGACCAGAATGAGACAAATCAAATTTACTTTTTTTCCTTGTTCTTTAGCACTAATGATACACTTGTGCACTTTGTCTTAGCTTGAAGACAAATCCTGACATTTATATAAAAAGAAAAAGGAAATGTCTCTTTTGTTATATAAGTAGAACTGCAGTAGTGAAATTTAAGAAAGACAGTAACTTTTTTCCAGTCTTTGGAAAATCATCATTTACAGGCCTTTCAGTTATGCATATCTTATGAACCTCACAAATTGTTGCTCAAAAATCAGAGTCAAACAAACCACAACCCTCCATAGTATGTTGCTGTATTATTGTCTTTAACTGTTTGTTTTTGTTCTGTACAGTGGTTGAGTGATCTGAGAGAGAAGGTGACGCTGCAAGATGGAACTTGTATTCCTGTGGTCCTGCTGGCAAACAAGTGTGATATCCAGGGCATTGAAATTGCCACTGAAATCATAGCAAAATTCTGCAAGGATAATGATATTGCAGCTTGGTTTGTCACGTCTGCCAAAGAGAACATTAATATTGGTAATATCAATATTTATATATTTTTTCACCTGTTCCTTACATGGGCATGAATCTCAGTATCTCATTGCAAAGGAAGAACGTAGATTGAGGGCATTTGAGCACAAAGTTCTAAGGAGAATAGTCGAATGGATGAGTGAGAAACTAGTAGGGGACCGGAGAAAACTGGAGATGATAGTCCACTTATAGACGTCCATAGACCTTCTTAAATTTACACTGAATTATTAATTATCAATCAGGATACATTGATTACTTAGATCATTATGCCAAGAATTGTCACTGCATAGTTAATACTAAATGTATTTTGAAGTATTTTGTGAACAAATCCAAGTTCTACAATTGGTAATGATTAATTGATCTGCAGTGTAATCTTCAATACTTATTGCACATTGCTATTCTCAACTGTGATTCAAGAGTTATCATGTCTGTTCCATAGTGACTGAACTCCCAGGTGCATAATATCTTATGAAAGAATGGAGGTAAAGCTGTCCATCAGGGAGAGGAGAACTTAGGTTAATACTGTAAGATCTTTTCTTTGTTCCACAGAAGAGGCAATGACATTCCTTGTTGACAAAGTGATCCACTTCAAAGCTCAGGAAACCAGCAATGATTCCATAATCCTACAAGGCACTAGTGACCAGGACAGTAAATATAAGGCTTTGTGTTGTGGGTAAGAAAAGTAGTGGCATGTGAAATCACAGACTGCTTAGTTTTGCTGAAAAGTTTTCCATGCTAAAATGAAGTTACATTACATGGATCCTGTTGTGTTTTAGAAATGTGGGAAACCTGATAGCATCAACAGAGAAGGATATTATGAACTTCTATTAACACAGATGTTTCCCTTGTAAAATAAATATATTTTAACTTGATAACAATATCAAAGAGTGATTATAGCAATTGCAGTGTAGGTAAGAATTTACCGTTAACTCTTCAGCACTGTGGAAGATGCCCAACATATTTTTGTGTACTACAGAACGATATGCTCTGCGCGTTATGACATTCTCATGTAATCGTAAAATAAAGTAAATGAAAGTCAATATCATTCTTTCACTACTGATACTACTACATCAGAATTATTAAAAAATATATAGCTTTTTTATTTCATGGTGAAGGCCATAAACCATGGTTTTTCTTCACATGGAGGAGAGAAAATGATTCTGTGTTGAAGAATAAAATATGTCCTGTAAAATGTGGAGCTATTTATGGAAAATTATTCTTTAGTGCTTGGTAAATTCATGCAGTAAAGCTGACTGAACCCTATACAGCTGCATTTTGTTCTTTATATGGAAACAGCGAACAGAGCATATAATTAGTAATATTTCAGGGATAATTTTGAAACATAATCTGCTGTTCAACATACAAATGTGATGGACTCTGTTATACAGCCAGAAAATTTAAGACATTGATACTTTGATGTTTTACTTAGACTGTGATCACTACTGTGTTGTGATAAACTTTATTCCCGAATGGATATTTGCAATTTGCTGTGTGCAGACATTGTATAAATTAGTGCACTTGAAACTTACTGTAAATTTAGAACTTGTGCATTTATAGAATTAGATATAACATATTGGAACATAGAAAATATTGAATTTGTCTATGCCTTGTGGGAGACTATTTTCAGCATTTGATAAGATACTTGGTACTATTTTTTAGATTATGACTAATTTCCATCGTCTGACAGGTCTCTCTCTTTCTCCCTCTTACTCACTTACTATCTTGGGTGCATATTCTGCTTATGTTCCTTCAGTGCACCGTATCTTTTTATGCCAGTCTCTTTCTGCCATGCCCTTCAAATATACTTTCTTTTCATTCTTGTCAGCCTGTCAGTGATATTCTATGATCACTGGTATATGCCATACAGATCTGAAGACAATAATATAAACTTAAAATAACAGCATTTAATTCTTATGTATGGGCAAACACAATAATAATGGCAGTTAAAATTTAAGTGGTACAACTAGAAATATGTTCAGAACTGTTGCACATTTAAAAATTAGTCAATGAAATTTTCATTCAGTTGGCAACTAATTCTTTTTTAAGTACAAGAGGGGAAATGTTTGAATTGGTTTAATGTAGTGACAGGTGTGGAAATGCACTGGTACGTGCTTGTAATACATTTATCATGCCTGATGACAGGAGTTTAAGATAGTCTGTGTAGATTAAGGTTTCTGTACTCAGTGCTGGACAATATTAAAGCAATATGCTTGCCTTAGACAAAGTACAAGGCTCAATGCAAATACATTCTGATGTGCTTCATCAGAAGGCTCTGCCTACACTATTTACATAGTTTAGCAAGCATTATGAAATGTTTAGAAAATGTGGATATATAGCCTACATCTGTTAGAAAGTAACGGATAGTTAAAATTTTAGATTTTTCCATAAATCTTATAGTTATACACCATCTGTTCCCCTAAAGACCCATGTTTAGTCCCTGCAGAATTTATATGGAACTTGTGGTGAAAAAAGAAAGAGATGAAGGGTAACTTTTTCTTGAACCTGTCAGTTTTTCCCTTCTTGTCATAACTCCTCCACCTTTGGTTCATATTCATTTATTCATGTCCCAGGTGTGTGTGCAGTCTGAGACCTCAGTTGGGGCTTCACATCTGACCTGTTACTGAAATGGACTCACAATAATTTAATGGCACTTGGATGTCTGTGTCAATTATCCTGGGTTCAAGACTGGCTGGATCCAGTGTGTGTACCTTCCCAACCTTCAATTACAAAGTTAATATTCTGTGAATGTGGGGAATATCAGGTTCCCATCATGCCTGTGGTTAATGTTAACTATTAGGTCTCTCTGCTGGCCAATATCACCACTCTCTCACTGGATGTAAACAGAATCCTGACCACCTCAGAAGAGGAGTCCTACACTGTTACCTTGTGAACACAGACTAGAGATGCAAAAGAACTGTAATTGGGTCTAGTCATCATCATCATCATCATCATTGTCATCATCATTACCACCACTGCCACCACCACCACCACCACCACTACCACCCTAACTATCATCAGAATCCAGTTCCATGAGCATTCCATCATTAAAAGAGATATATTCATTGATTCTTGTAGGTAGAGGCCAGGAAGGTCAAATGACCATAGTTAGGGGCTGGCTATCATCAGGATCATCACTATATCACACAAAGAAATTTAAATTCTGCCCAGTGAGCACTCCCACCTGAAAATTGGATGCCATCATACTTGCCAACTTGGCAGAGGACAAAAATATTGAGGCTTTGAAGAAAAGAAAGTCTTATGCAAAATCTTAAAAATATAATCTGGATGACTCCCAAGCTAGCTCATTCTGTGTTTAACCATTTCCTATGCCATCACATGGTTAATTAAATATCTTCTGTACAGTATACTTTTTATGCATGACATAGTGCTTAGCTAAGTAAGCACAGGGACAACTTTCTTACTTTATGTTGATCATGGCATGAGCTATTTAATTTTACTGTGTGCTACTACATTACTTGTGGCAGCTGGTTATGACCTCATTTGAAAGAGAGTTGTCATATTTCAGTTAGATGATACTGTAATTGGATAGTTAAAAATCATCCACACTTTTAGCTATTACTCTTACAAGAACAAAACTGAGAAATTTGTTAGGTTTAGTAATAGAATTGTTGTCACATTAAATGTAGGACTTGCTACATCAAAAGAATGTAGTTGTATTTGCAAATAGAATATTTTTTGCAGATTTAAACTAGTCAGTTTTGTATTATAGATGACAGTTGGAATGAAGAGAAAATGTTGATGATAGATTGTATGAGAACTGTATACTGACATAGCCATTTGCAGTTTCCTAGGTTAAATTGTGAGTGACATGAAGTAATTAAGGGAAACAGTACTAATGAGAGATATTTTAGATGTTTTCTCTTTCAAATGTAGTATATTTTGTAGTTAAAGGGTTTCATAAACTGACATGCAATATTTGTTCAATGCATGATTATTTTATAGATTTCTATATATGACGTAATTTGTATACTTTTTTTTTTTGCACAAATTGCATGAGTGCATAATAAAGAGGTCACATCAGTTTGTCTATGTGCATGTCCTTGAAAACAATATAGCATATTTTGATAAAATTTGGTGCATACAGTCTGCACTGAATTTTGTCAAACTTAATTTTGGTTTTCATCAATTCAATAAAACTATTTCTTCATTTTTTTGCCTTCCTCTCTTTCAGGCATAAACTGAGATTTAAATGTCCCACAGGTATTCTATTAAGTAAAAAGGCTTTTACACTCTTTGCAAACCGACTTTCTAATCTGATTGCTATCGATTTTCCTTTCTGAACACCTTACTATATCTGTTTTTTCCTGTTGACTGTAGCATTAATTGTGTTTTGAATGTACCTATTCCACAAATGATATTGTATGGTATATAAATTATTGAAGACTTCAGAGTCGAGACTCACTGCCCTACACAACACAACCTTAGAATTCTGTAATTTCTGTTCTTCAGTAGAAGTACCTAGGCTAACTTTACAGATAGGACAGTTGTATTAATAATAGTGTTTTGTAACATTCCATCCAGGAGTGTGTGTTATAACCATCATTTACATATCACAGTTTATTTGTCAAAACTTGAGATCTTGGGTTGTGATTTCACATTAATATTGCACACAAAAATGAGATGTGGTGTTCTAACACACAGAAAATGTGTTCGTGTGCTTGCAGATACATGTTTGTGATTGTAAGTGCATGCAAACTGTCTGAAGTGCCTGCAGCTTAAGAGATTTAAATTAAGAACTCCTATGAGGTTTCCGTGAATACTGAATGAACATGCGGGGAAAACAGGATATGGTTGACTATAAACAAAATAGGTAGGGAACATAACTACAAAAATATTTTAAATACAATGAAATGTTGATAAGTAAATGTGATCCAGAGAGGATGGATGGAATTGCTTTTTTTCTTAAAGAAAAAAATGATGGCAATAATGAATCAGTTATTAATTTAATTTTTAAGGGACATAAGGATAGTTTGTACTTATTATTAATCGCTCAGAGCTCAATGGTTGCTAAATGTATCATCTGCTTTAACATACAAAAATCCTGCAGATTTGCGCTGATCATAAGAGTATGAAAGATCATGCTTTATGCAGTATGTATATGCCTGATAGAAATATACATTGGCCTCTTTTATATGATAACTATAAATGACTTATTTCATAACGTTTTATTAATTAAAATAATTAAAATGGAGGTACACAGGATGAAAAATGACTCCTGGTTCATGTAGTAAGTTTTGTCATTTGGTGAACATTATTCCATCTTGTTTTTGATACTATATACTTTCTTTAACAGTTGTCATAACTTATATGACCTTTTCAGAATAAGTTATTTTAGATGCAGTTCTTATTTTAGTAGGTTTTACTGTGTTTCTTAAGTGTATCAATGATCCAAGAATCAGATTCTTCACAAAGAAGCTTATTACATAGCCTTGTAGTTGTTAATTACTTTAAAAGGAAATGAACAACAATCAGACAGTATATGAGTGGCTATGTTACACTGCTGAAAAGATTAGTGCTGTGCAATAAATGTTGGCAGGAAGAATCTTGAGTAGAATAAATACACAGTAATAAATAATACTTGTATTATCAGAAGAATAACACAGATGTCAGTACATACACATGCACACACACATGCACATACACATATGTGTAATTAATATTATGATTGGTTGCATGACGTTTTCATCATCACAGTGTGTGATAAATTCAAGTGGAAGCAAACTTGTAGTTCTGTCTATTTACCCACATGTGTAGTAGATCATTACTTACATGCTCTCTTGTGTGGTGCCTATTCTAGTGATAAGCATTTCTCTAGAATAATAGGTTTAAATAAAAGCATACTGTCAGTTTGTTCTTTCTAGATACATGATACATATTTTATCGAATAAGACATGTCAATAATATGTTAATGTAAGAGTGAAATGCAAATTAAATTGTACTGTAAATCTCTACAACAGTTACACCTCTTTACAGTGTTACTAGAATATCTTCAAAGATAATGATTTTGTTTTGTGGTCTCAAATAAACTTGAACAACATAATTGTGTTTCATATAGACAGTGCTTTTCTGCTTACTGTGTACATACTAAATACTTGGTAGAAATCTAGTCTTACACGTTTATTTAATAGAAAGACACAGGATTGTTAGTATTTGTGTCATTCCAGTCATTCCAAAGATTTAGCAGTAAACTTCCACTGTGTTAGACATGACTGATAGCCTTAATAAAATACTGGGAAGAAACTGAAGAGCAAAATGAAAATCTCTTGGTAGACGTGATTTACTGTGTTTAATTTGATTTTATAATGAGTTTCTCAAAATCATTATAAGTACAGACTAATGACAAAAATATTTATTAGAAGGAAAATCATAAATTGTTCTGCATTGAACTGTGCTGGCGTATTTCCCATGAACAGAAAATGAATGTACCTTCTTTAAGTGTATTCAGATTATTATACACTTATTTTATAATACAGTGGTATGAATGAATGCCATAGTTACTTTTAACGCTTATTAAGAGAGTAAGATATTAAGACCTAGTGAATATTACAGGAAATTTAAATCATAGTTCAAAAAATTTTACTTACTTACTTGCTAATGGAGCTGCGCCCTTCTGGAGGAGCCCCCAATTCTGCAGCTACTCAAGAATTTCCCAGCATTTTATGGAACCCGAAGGTTCATTACCGTGTTCACAAGAGCCCTCCACTGGTCCCTATCCTAAGCCAGATCCATCCAATCCATACCATCCCATCCTATCTCTCTAACATACACTCTAATATTGTCCACCCACCTACACCTTGGTCTTCCCTGTGGTCTCTTTCCTTCTGGCTTTCCCACCAATATCCTATACACATTCCTCGTCTCCCCCATTCGTGCTACATGCCCTGCCCACCTCATCCTCCTTGACTTGATCATTCTAATTATACTTGGAGAAGCGTACAAGTTATGAAGCTCCTCATTATGCAGTTTTCTCCAACCTCCTGTCACTTCATCTCTCTTCAGTCCAAATTAGGCTTGTTTTGGTACAAGTCAGATGCAGAACTGTTCTTCCCTGATCAGTTCCTATGTTTCTATGGGACAGGTGGGATACAAGTAAATTTACCAAATTCATATGGAAGCTTTGAAGATTTGGAGGATGACACTATCTACTAGTACATATCCATACAGAGTAAAACAAGTAATGATTGACAGAATTAAAAAAAAATGTAATTTGTTTTAAAAGCATGTAGAAACAAGATATAAACATGTTCCACTGTAGAGTATTCTTGTGTGGAACTTGAAGGTTTGTTAGTGTGTTCACAAAATCCTGCCATTGGTCGCTGTTCTGAACCACATAAAGCCAATCCATATTCTCTCGCATGGTACTGCATTGTGGGAACATCCCACATTATCACGCATTTCTGTAACGCTCGCTCTTCACATCACTTTTCACTATCACACGCGCTAACCAATCAGATTGCTTCAAACGTTTGTATTTATACTGCGATCGCTGCTGGCCTGCATCTACATCATTACGCGCGCTAGCCTATCAATTCTTCCTCCTCACTTTCGAGTTTCGCTCCGCCCCACCGAGCAGTGTATAAAAAGGGGCAGCTCCAACGCCGAGTATTCAGTTCCAATCAGTTCATCGTCAGTCTACGAGCTAGCCACATCAAGCAACTTCAGCCAGCAGGCTTCGTCGCCAGCGCTCGGTCTTCGGAGACATCGGCAGGCTGTGCCGGGCACGACTGCCTCGGCCCTCCAGCACTCTCACACCCGACTCACTGGGGCACCCTGCCTGGACTCGCTGGTGGTCGTGTTACTGTCTGACCCACTGGGCATCTGGCGTAGCCACTGCCTCATGACTCCTACGACCGCGCTCACGACTAGCCTTTCACCAGCCATTCACCGTAACTAGCCTTTCTCCTTACCGGCGCACGCCGCGCTACCTCACCGGTCAAGCATCTCAGCAGCCACGGTCCTTTTCAGGGCCAACAAACTGTTCCGAAGAAGTGGGTTGTCCTCGGAGTAATGACAAGACTACATATCAAGAGCCCCACAGCATCATCCCAAATATGCCTAGGTTTCTAAAATGATCTTTTCCTTTCAACTTTAGTGACCAAAAATTTGCTTGTATTTCTCAAGCAATAGCTCTTTTTCCTTCACATACTTTACCAAGACAATGGCTTCCTTAAGCATGAACTTATTTCATGAAGCATTTTAAGCCTTTTACTGTTATATTTAAATCTTAATGCCATCACACAATTTAATTTCAGTATGTGTACTCTACTTTCTATGTGTTAATGGTGCAGAGGACATTACTTGTATTAAGCCATACTGGATTTGCAGTCTTCTGCTAGGTAATCAGGCTTTCTTTTGAATATACTGCCCATTAAAGGGCTTCAATAAATAAAATAGAAACAATACAATACTCTTACAGTAGTGCAATTATTAAACAGCTGGGAAAGGCTCACATGTCTGGCTAAAGATGAACTCAGTTCATGAAAAGATGAACAGTGATAATCAGTCTTCTGAGGTTTTCTAATTATACACCAAAATGTGTGTGGTTGGAATTATCTTGTGGAAAATGTATGGTATTTTTTTTTAATTTTGAGAGCCAAATTTTATTATCTATTATTATTATCTATCTGTTTCCTCAGACATAGAACTTCTCATTACTAAAATAACGTTACTATGGAAAAACTGTGCCTCTCCATGTACAGAGATTACATGTAGCATTCTGTTAACAATTCTGTATACAGGGGTGTCAGGAGATTGGCTTTGTTAGAACACAAATATTTCAGGACAGATTCAGTGGTTTGTCTATGTTATCAAGAGAGAAATAGCCTTACATTTTCCTGTGATCTGTTGGCAGAATGTGTTGTAATAAAGCGTAGTGAATTTCAGAAGTGGGCAGTGTTAATACATGATGAATCTCTTATTTTTCCATTAACTATATGTGTGTGTATAATTGAGTGTTCTGTAAGTTCATGTTTATTAGGCCGGAGTGGCCGCAGTACAAGGGACTTAGTCCCACCCCACTAGAAATAAAAAAAATTTGTGTTAATAGACACTTGTGCAGTTCTAGGTGCTTACTTCCATCAAAAAATTGGACCACTTTTATTGTGGAATGTTATGTAATTGATCACAGTTTTTGTTTACCTGAACAGGAACTGGTTATTATTATAATTATAATTATTTTATTCTGCAAGCAGTTCCTCATAAAGAAAACCACTACATCCTGCTTGTAATGAGTTATAAATATGTTTGTACATGATTGAAAACTGACAACTTTTCTCCTTTCCTTTTAGATTGTTAAGATGTGAAACTTGGTCTCTGACATCAAGGGAGGAACATAGACTGAGGGTGTTTGAGAACAGGGTGTTGAGGAGAATATTTGGACCGAAGAGAGATGAAGTGACAGGAGGTTGGAGAAAACTGCATAATGAGGAGCTTCATAACTTGTACTCTTCTCCAAGCATAATTAGAATGATCAAGTCAAGGAGGATGAGGTGGGCAGGGCATGTAGCACGAATGGGGGAGACGAGGAATGCATATAGGATACTGGTGGGAAGGCCAGAAGGAAAGAGACCAAGGAAGGAAGACCAAGGTGTAGGTGGGTGGACAATACTAGAATGGATCTTAGAGAGATAGGATGGGATGGTATGGATTGGATGGATCTGGCTTAGGATAGGGACCAGTGGATGGCTCTTGTGAACATGGTAATGAACCTTTGGGTTCCATAAAATGCTGGGAAATTCTTGAGTAGCTGCAGAATTGGCGGCTCCTCTAGAGGGGCTCAGCTCCATGAGTAAGTAAGGTACCTTAGACCCTCAAGCCCTATGGCTCACAAGGGTCCATACATTTGCCTTACAGAAGATAACTGTCATTTGGAGATTTGGAACGTGACACTGTCTAGTGCGGCAGAAACTTACACATGTTTCTAAAGATCCCCCCAACACAACCACCATCTTCGAAGCAGAAGCAACTCTTGCAGATGGATGCATTCGGAACCTTCTACACATTTTTAACTTTCTACTAAACTACACGGCGTTAAGTTCCCGGCGCAATTATTGTTAGTTCTCAACTATAAGAGAACTTAAATCTCACATTTACCTTCTGAGCTACCGAGACCCTTCAATTGGTACTGAAAATAGGTAGCAGCACATACGAGAGCGCTGTGTTTGGTGTGTTATCTATGGTTACAGATGAGCCTAGGGGGCGTAGCGGACCTTCTCGTTCGTTCTCGTTTTTTCCGTTGTTCGTGGATACTTCGCGATGTTGCGGGTTTTGGGTTTGGGCCGTTTCTCACGTGTGTGGTCTAGGCACTAATCCCCGGTTATGTTAGGGTACCGGGTTCGTTGTAGCAGCCAGTAGTTGTCATGCACGGCATAGCGAAAGTTGCGGATATGTTTAATGTGTTATGAAATCTCACAAATTAGTAGTGTGGTTTGCCCTGCAATAATTATAGAAATGAAGCTACAAAATGAGTTGTTCTCCTTCATCACGCACAATCGTTTGTAAAGAAGTTTTTGATGAAAACAGTATCCCGTCGGAAGAAGGTAAAGGCGGCTGTTTTTGAAACTTTTGAAATTGCCTGAAATATTTCTTTTAAGTTTATAAGAAGATAGGGTTTTGTGTTGCATGACGTTTTGTATTTAGCGGCTCACATTGACATTTCAATTCCCGAAACATTCGTGCGTGCTGTATATGAACGTTTTGTGTTAGTATTGATCGTTTTAGTACTCGTTACATTCGGGAGGTCATGATGTATCACGCAGTGTGAGTCTTATAGGAGGAACTCCGAACGAAGATCGGCTTGGCATATGCCTATTGTTAAGCCACCCCAACTCAGAAATGGCCAGAAATTAACAGAAAATTGGTTATTGAAGAAATTACGGACTATTTCTGCTATTGTACAATATTTGAAACCTCCCCGATTATCACGAAACTCTGATCCGTTCAGCGGTACTAATTTGAGCGTAATTTTTTGACAAGATAAATTGTTGTGTCAGCACAGTACACATGTTTTTGTGTTAGCAAATAAAAAACTGAAAAACTATACTGAATGCAACTCAACATGCGTTATACCAAAAAAAGATCGCGATTTGATAATCGGACAGGCGGAAGTTGGGATGAGATGTTTGGGCGAATAGCCAGGATCAATATTATGACACGCTTATCCCTCCCCACTCTGCTCAAAATTTATCTGTTCAAACTAACTGCAGCTTTATAATCTTACCCTCCACTGCGTGAAATGCAAGTGGAAAGTATGATTTTGAATTATGTTTTCATAGGAGAATATTAATATGCAAGATTTGAGGTTTTTGTGGCAGTGAAAATTAATATCATGGTTCACTTGGTGATGACACCATGTTGTAGTCTCGTAGGGGGGCACCGTTGTCTTGAGGAACATAATTGCCTCCATCTGCAGATGGATGCAGAATGTTGCTCCAGAAGCATTGGTACCTACCTACCAGATTGTAACATGGTTTTGTGATGCAGAAGAGCACAGTGTGGATTGCTCTGCAATTTGAGAATTGTGGAAGACTTTTTGAGAAGGATGAATACAATTTCTAGATTACCTAGTCCAGTAAGATAATAAAATTAAATCAGATTTTGCATATGCTAAAATATTCATCCAGTTATGATAACAGTCCACTCATGTTGACTTAGACTGATTAAGCACATGATATATCAGGACTGTACCCAAAGCAGAGTCTTCACTTATATTTGTTTTTTTAATGGACACACTTGTGCAATTTGTTTTGTTTCATAAGTGTGACAGGATCTATCCATGTAGTCCTCATTTATTCTCTTTCCCCTTTACATCTTTAGGGCTCTTAAAGAGAGGACACAAGAAACAGAATGAATAGTTTTAGTCAGATGATAATGTGAGAAAGCTCAAAAGCATGTTCTGTTGACTTGCTAGTGAAATCCAGGAATTTCATATAGTATGTTTCCATTGTTGTCCACAGTCAGTTTGGACAACCCTCAAATTTTTCTGAGCACTGTAAAGCTGCATCACAGTCATTTAGTGAATTAACGCTGTTACTGTTACAAAATTTAGCAGATTAAACAACAATCAGACACATTAAATTAATCCTCACCCCTCCTCCTCCCCATCTTCTTCTTCTTCTTCTTCTTCTTCTTCTTCTTCTTCTTCTTCTTCTTATCATTATTATTATTATTATTATTATTATTATTATTATTATCATCATCATCATCATCATCATCATCTTCATGGGTTAGGACTGTTTCTAATTCTTTCCCATATGATGTCATAGTAAAATACAGCTCAGTACCACATGGTACACCAAATCATGTATACATTATGCATAAACTATGTTCATATTGTGGTATATAGCTGTAAGGAGGGAGCAATGGCATCTAGACCCATTGCTAGGCAACAATTGTGAAGTAAGCAGCTATACAACGGTGTTACTAGGCAGTGGCCCATAAACAGCAACAGAGGAACGGTGTTTTCTCTGCGGTTCATGTGAGATGTTTGCTTAAGCAGGACAAGTTAGGAGGCCGTTATTTGGTGAGTTAGTGCGTGAGTTAAAGAACTGCTGCAGTTCAGTTGTTGTGAGCTGTTGCTGTTAGAATCTGGTAGCTGAGGCTGGAGACAGTTCTGGAACCCAGAGGAAGGCGAAATCCGCCTTTGGAAGTCGTTACCAAGCAACGGCAGTGAAGACGTGGCAGTGGACGCTAGTGTGTTTGTGTGTAACAGTGACTTGTGAAGTATACTCATGCTTATACCAAAGTGCATAATAAATTGAGTCATAAATTTAAAACCCTTCTATGGTAACACTCATACACGTGACGACTGCTATCAGAAGTCCTTCAGGTGAAGTAGGAGAGAACTGATCTTTTTCATTTCAAGGCTAGAAGAATAAGCAAAACAATGAAGACAGTACTATTGACAATATTAACCATGATCACACGTTGCAATGCAATAACGGCATCAGGAACCGAGGCGAAAGATGGCAGCTATGTCTGAGAAAGGAGAGGACATCCGACAGGATCATCAGGAAGACCGTAGAGCTGAGATCAAAAAATGAATGGTCGGATCTTTGACTGGGCTACAGGAAAGTGACTGGACATTGTGGAGCGATCGGCGCCCTCCGAAATGAAAGAAGATATGTTAAAAGTACAACTGTCAGAAAATAAGATGGTGGTGCACTTGGACCAGCTCGCATCTTGTCAAGGAACCAGTCGGGATGAGCGGCGTTAAGGAGGGAGGAATTGGAGAAGTTGGAGAGTAATCATCGCAAGAAATGAGCCATGGGAAGGAAGGCGAGACCAATTACAGACGTCATGACTACAGCTCTCAGAAAAGAAGAAATGGCATACGTCAGTAGGTAGCCTTAAGGAGGGAGCAATGTGGCATGTAGACTCATTGCTATGCAATGACCGTGAAATAAACAACTATACAACGGCCATTACTAGCCCTCGGCCCATACAGGGTGTCCCAGGAGGAATGGACCAAACTTCGGGAGGGTGTTCCTTATGTTAAAGTATGCCGATATAACCCAAAACACCTATGTCCAAAGTTGAACGATTACGGAGATAATGGCCAGAGAATTGTCAAACTATGACCAGCGTTGCACACTTGTTGATTACAAAATACATATTACAACTGGCTGGAATATGTGGATTCTGTAATGTTAATAATGTATGTAACATCAAACTAACTTGTGAGTGACATGAAGCCATAAAATTGAAGTACAAAATACTCGCTCGCCATGTCATAATTGTCCTTAGGGTTTCCAAGCACTATACATGACACATGATTGGCAAGCGCTGACGTAACGTGGCTGACTGCGCGTTCTGATAAAGCCAACTACATACGTACGGCTAGGGTGAATCATGGCACTCAAGGACAAACATAGATAAGGCCTCTCAGCTGAGAGGTACAGTGCGTGGACCTGCCAGAATACCACACTTTTCTTGGGCCATTATCTCCATAACCGTTCAACTTTGGACATAGGTGTTTTGGGTTACATCAGCATACTTTAACATAAGGAACACCCTCCCGAAGTTTGGTCCATTCCTCCTGGGACACCCTGTATAGAGCAACAGAGGAACGCGGTTTTCTGTGCTGTCCATGCTGGGATAATATAAGCAGAACAAGTTAGTAGTGAGTTGGTTGGTGAGTTAGAGAACTGTTGCGGCTCAGTTATTGGGAGTTTTAACTGTTAGAAGATGGTAGCTGAGGCTGGAGACAATTCTGGAACCCAGAGAAAGGGCATCGTCCGCTGTTGGAAGCCACTACAAAGAAATGGCAGTGAAGACGTTACTGTGGTCACTGGTGTGTGTGTGTGTGTGTGTATGTGTGTGTGTATGTATGTATGTATGTATGTATGTATGTGCGTGTGAGTGAAATATGGTCATGTGCCATATTAAAGTGTGCAGTAAATAAAGTAATCAATCCAAAACCCATCTATAGTCACACTCATACACACCACAATATTATTCATCATACTTTATTGTGCTTTTCATTGATGTAACTTTTTGTACTATATGATTCATTACATTTTGTACCCAGATTTACAAATGGAAAACATTTTAGGAATGAGTATTAATGACAAATGTAGCAGAAAAATAAAAACACTTATTTCAAATGAACACATTATGTAAGAATTGGAAATGAGTACAAGAATGAACAAGAAAAGAAGAATTTAAAAGCAGAAAAGGCAGTCCAAGCCATAAATTTTGATTGAGCATTGATATAAAACAGGAGCTATAATGGATCATGTTAAAAAGTGAAATTAATCTGCTGACTCCACTTGCAATATCACATTTAATTGAACAGTTTTGGAGAAGGAAACTGTGATAATCAGGTGGAAATGACATATTTTATTTTATGTATTTCATATGAAGAATGTAAAAAAAGTATTTCCTTTTTCACAGAATGGTGTATAATATGCCAGTAAACTATTTCTCCCTCCTGTCTCCTCTCTTGTATGTACTTCTGGTGAGTGTAGTACAGTCTATACTTCACTTACTGATTTTAGCGCTACTGGTTAATGTTCATTGCACCCTAGCTCACATTCTATAAATCTTGCAAAGAATGTGTAAAGAATCTGTTGAATTCCAAGTTTTTGTATGTGATTTTATGACTAATTAGTTTTTAATGTTGGCGAGGTTGATTTTTCCTTGGTATAATATATTGACAGAAAATGAGGATAATATATTTTAAAATTCAGTTTTGTTACTTGGCATGTACTATTTATGGATTGCAAGATTTGACTTTCCATACAGGATGATAAATGGAAACTGTTAACAAGAAGTTCAGAGAAGAACTAATCACCTATTTTCCTTGATTAAACAATGAACTGCCAGAAAAGACGTGTCCAACAATCCTATTGTTGTGTATGTATTCTTTGCTACTGTAAAGTTTTTACTAAGCTGTTGCCTAGCAACAATAAGAGAATAAACACACAGACACACAGACTGATGGGAAGGATTTATGAAATACACCCTTAACATGGGTTCAGCTTTCATGATGTGTATACCGAGTTTCATAAAGATTGGTTCAGCCATTCAGAAGTTGATTGGAGGGTAAACAGGCACACAGCATGGAGATTGCATTACCCTATTTTAATTTTTAACCAACTTTCCTTATTTTGAAAAATGGAAGTAGGCATATGCAATTTCAGTGGTGCCTGTGCATCCACCCCTCAACATTTGAATGGCATAATCAGTCATTTTGAAATACTTAATAAATCCCTCCTATAAGTGTGTGTGTCTGTGTGTATCCTCCTGTCGTTGCCAGGCAGTGGCTTCGTAAAAATCTCTCTATCTTTGCTAGGCAGTTGCTTGATAAAAATGTCACTGTAGTAATGAGTAGAAGAATGTTGGACATGTTATTTTCTGTGCAGTCTATGTTGTATGAAGGAGAGCTGATGATTAGTTATTCCCAGAACTTTTTTTTTTTTTCAAAATAAGGAAAGTAGTCTAAAAATGAAAAGCAAGAATAGAACAAGGTTTTAAATAACACTTACAGTCCCTTGTTGTAGAACTGCTTGTGTATGACATTTCCAAATAGTGGGAATGAGATGCTGTTATGAGAACAAGAGATGAATAGTAAATAGACTCTCACAGAAATGGAACAGAACAAATAGTTTTGAAGGAAACAGGACAATGGATGAAAATGTTAATTGGTTTTGGTTATACAGTGAATCTGAACCAGCTGCAGTGGTTATCAGTAAATAACAAAATTATGGGTGAATAACAGGAAAAGACAGAGAAGAAACGGTCATGGTCTGGTTCATAGATTTAGCGCAGTATTTATTTGTATGAAACTGTGAAAGAGTCAGGGTGACTGGTATGCTGGTTGTGCAATGAAATTTATGCCTCATGGACATAAGTCAGACGTGTTACTGTCTGAGTCAGTTTGGTAAGTGTCCAAAAAGAGATGGTACAAGTAGATATAATGTAATGATTTCTTTGTTTATAGCTCAAGACAGAGATATTTGGCCTCTTAGAAGCATAGGTAGAATGACATGGGCGTTGAAAAAAGTACATATGAATGTGTGTTAAATTTGGGAAGATGTTTAATCAGGACTATTATTGAAAAAATAGAAGCAATTTTTCACCCAGAGTAGTTTTATGGGGTTGTGTATGTTTTTCCTTACAGAAATAAGAGACTATGCACTGAAGATTGGCATCAACCCTGATAGTGAGCCACACCTGCTCCATTTTGCACGAGATGGTCTTATGCAAGCTTTGCCTCCTGGCTGGAAACCATGGTGAGCAGAGTGGGATATAATTCCCTGTAATCCATTGAAAGTTAATCTGATGTTTCAGAGGAATGCATCGTCTCCATCTTCAGGACCAAATAAGCTGAACATGATGTTATATTCCAGAAGATAGTACTCTTCATAACAACCTCAAATCCTACATATAAGGAATATGTTTGAAATTTTATTGGATTTGAGGTTGCCATAGCTTTGTCTATCCTCTGGGCTGTGTGACCATGTAGTCCGGTAGAAATCCACTGACATTTTGGAGTAATGTCTAAATCATTAGGGTTGAAGAGCTCTGTCTTCTGCTTGCTTTTTGTGAGTTGCTTGCCTGGCTACTCTTTGACCCTGAAGATGGAGACGGTACAATGTCACTGACAGTCTACCAGACTGCATGGTGTCACATCCTAGAAGACAGTACTTTTAATAATGGAAATTGATTTTGAAATGGATGTTATGCAAGTGTATACAATTTATTTTCTAGTTATGATGAGGAGCTGGGATCTTGGTATTACTTCAACTTCCGAAGTGGCGAATCTCGTTGGGAACATCCTCTGGATGATATGTACAGAAACCTGGTCAGGAGGGCTCGCTCAGAAAGCATCAGCTCAGCGGGTACACTCTATAATTTATTTCACTTATTCCAAGAAATTGTAATGGGGTTGAAAATCTAATTCTTGAAACAAAAAATGAGGAAAACTCATTATACATGGGGCAATCCAAAAGTTTCCGAAATTTGAATTTTGTGAGCGATGGTTATGAGTACATTGAAATAACCGCTAGGTGTCTCTTCACACATCCTTCTTGAATCAGTGTGGCAAGCGGTGTCAAGTTCAGTGGTTGGGTTTATTGTTGGTGAACATATTTCCATTGTTGTGTTTCCGTGAGTTTGCGGTTTTGCGATATCTGACCTGAGAGAGCAGCGTGTCTGTATAAAGTTTTGTTTCAAACTTGGGAAAACCACTGCAGAAACGTACCAAATGTTGAAGCAAGCTTTTGGTGAAAACAGTTTAGGCCAGACACAAACTTACAACTGGTATAAGCGTTTTAAAAATGGCCGAACATTGACTAATGATGAAAATGTTCAGGATGGTCATTAACGGGCAAAACACCAGAAAATGTCGCGAAAGTTAGGGATCTGATTCTGCAAGATTGTAGACTGACCATCCAAGACCTCTGTAACACCTTGGGACTAAGTTATGGTACATGTCAACGAATTTTGTCAGAGGACCTGAACATGAGGAGGATTGTGGTGAAGTTTGTGCCACGACTGCTGCAAAATGAACAGAAGCAGCATCGCTTGGAAGTGTGCAGGGAACTTCAGCAACAGCTTCAAGAAGATCCAAACTTTCTTTCGAAGGTTGTCACTGGTGACAAAAGTTGGGTTTATGGCTACGACCCTGAAAGCAAGCAGCAGTCATCACAATGGAAGAGCCTTTTTCACCTCGGCCAAACAAGCTCGACAAGTCAAGAGGAACATTAAGTCCATGTTGATCTGTTTTTGATATTGACGGGATTGTTCATAAGGAGTTCATCCCTCCTGGTCAGACAGTCAATAAAGAGTTCTATCGCGATGTTCTAAGGGGTTTGAGGCAGAACATGAGGAGAAAACGTCCAGAGAAGTGGTGCACAAACGACTGGGTACTCCACCATGACAACGAACGACCGCATACGGCTTACATTGTGCAGGAATTTTTGGCTAAAAACAAGATGGCAGTTGTTCCCCACCCACCGTACTCGCCAGATTTAGCTCCATGTGACTTCTTTCTCTTCCCCAAAATGAAAATCAAGTTGAAGGGGCGAATATTTGATACAGTTGAGGAAATGCAAGCGTAAACGCAGACGGTACTAAACACCCTAACAAAGAAAGGCTTCCAGGATGCATTTGAAAAGTGGCAGAAACGCTGGGATCATGTATGCGCTCCCAAGGGGACTACTTTGAAGGTAATGGTGCAGGATAAGATCTATGTAAGATGTAATAGTTTTTATTAATATATTTTGGGAACTTTTGGATTGCACCATGTATTATAGCTTAAATTGAGGAAAGTTATATGTTTGGTCATTAGCTGGGTAAACCATTTGGCTCCTCAAGATATGCAATGTGATTAGAATGTGGTCTTTTTTTAAGTATGTAAATGAGAGATACATTTTTTCTGTTGTATTAAAGCAAAGGCTTTTAGATTTTATAAGAAGGCTCCCTGTCTCTGCTTTCTAAAATTATATTTTAATTACAGACAGCGTTATTGTTTATTGTGAAGACAGTTTTTTTATGGCTATATATAGCAAGTGTGACATAACTTCGAACAAGGCCAAGAGTAACCTTGAATCCGCAGAAGAAAAATTTCAGACAAGGGGGTGGGTTTGAGGGTGTGAGAAGTAGTTTGCACAACTGGCCGCCTGTCACTTCTCACACCCTCGAACCCATCCCCTTGTCTGAAAATTTTCTTCTGAGCATTGAAGGTTACTCTTGGCCTTGTTCGAAGTTACGTGACACTTGCTATACTTACATGTTCAATGTTATTGTCATTATTTATTTTTCTTCAGGTGAGGAAGATTCCAAAACGTCAGCCAAAGAAGACTTGAAGAGTTACGAGGAGGCAGCTCCCACAGTTCCTAACACACAGCTTGTTCCGCGGTCATTAGAACCTCTTAAAAACAGCGACATGCTCAAGAAGGGACGTATTCAGTTGGTATGTAACAGTTATGGATATGCAGCCTATGTATTTGTTTCATAACTGTTATGCCACAGGAAAACAAAACAAGTTTGACTTGAGATAACAATTGGTGGGTTTCTGTTTGTAGATCAGCCTTCATTGAATCTGTAATTCAGTTGTTGTCATATCCACACCAGTGAATTTTTTGGTAACAGTAGCATCTGACATTCTTCCTTTCAACAATATAAGACTCATAATCATCTTAAAAAGGCTGATATCAATGAGAAACATAAATATCAAGGGAATTGCTGAGGAAACTGTTGATTTTATTCATGAGATGTTCTTACACAGTCCTAAGAAGTCAACTGTCAGTGCAAGTGTAGAGTTTGGTATTTCCCCATTTACTGTTCATAAGATGCTCTAGAAAAAGTTGTGTTCGAAGGTCTGCAAGTTACAGAATGCATTCTTCAAGCTGATAAATGGTCCTTCTTTGAATCATAATATTATATTGCAGCATCCTGTTGCACTGTGTAGATCTAACTTTGCTTCCCACATAGACAGCAAAAAGTGGAACAGAAAGTCAGATCTTTGAGTCTGCGATGTTGAGTTGTAGGAAGGCAAAAGAAAAAGATGTCTCTCTGAAACTTCATTCCACATCCACATGTCAGTAATTTTGAGTAGACATAATTGTTGAAGTTGGGATTCAGTCATCTCAACAGATGCCTAGAACATGAAAGAAGTAAGATGAATGTGTACTGTGCATTCTGATTCAAAGATGTGATGTATAATTTTCTGTGCATTTGGACTGAAGAGAGATTAAGTGACAGGAGGTTGGAGAAAACTGCTTAATGAGGAGCTTCATAACTTGTACTCTTTTCCAAGTATAATTAGAATGATCAAGTCAAGGAGGATGAGGTGGGCAGGTCATGTAGCACGAATGGGGGAGACGAGGAATGTGTATAGGATATTGGTGGGAAAGCCAGAAGGAAAGAGACCACAGGAAGACCAAGGCATAGGTGGGTGGACAATATTAGAATGGATCGTAGGGAGATAGGATGGGATGGTATGGATTGGATAGATCTGGCTCAGGATAGGGACCAGTGGAGAGTGAACACGGTAATGAACCTTCGGGTTCCATAAAATGCTGGGAAATTCTTGAGTAGCTGCAGAATTGGGGGCTCCTCCAGAAGGGCTCAGCTCCATGAGTAAGTAAGTAAGTAAGTAAGTAAGTAAGTAAGTAAGTAAGTAAGTAAGGGTATCCCTTATTCCTTAGATTTTTCAATATTTTCCATGGTTTTTGCAGGACTTTAGATTTTATGACCATTACATAGTTTTCTGAATGACCCTATTGTTGGTAATGTTCTATTTCTTAAACTGTTAATAACGTTAAGTGACCAGGTAGAAATGGCAAGCAATCCTGAGGAAGGCCAGGGCTCACAAAGGGCTGTTGTGCCAGTGATGATGATGACCAGGTAGAAATGAAATCTGAAGAAGCATGGTAGTTCTCACATGTACACAGAACATGTGCATTAAGTGAAATAGGGTCAACATTGACAGCTCATGTATGTAAGAGTCATTTTGGTCTTTTACTGTTACATAACTAATTCTTCACATTTTATTTATATTTGTATGAAGATAGTATATTTCTTTCCAGGCTCCACTGAAGAAATCTCCAGCTCTGTCACCTTTAGCTACATCAAGCACAGCATCTCCAAAAGAGCTGCAGCTGACTCCACAAAGCAGTCCTGCAGGTAGCAAGAATCCACCAGGACTAATGAATCCATCTAGAGATGTTAGCAGTGCTCCATCAGAGGTTGCTGGCAGGTCAGAACCTGGAGGCATTAGCACTAGGATTGATCTTTGTGGAGGACACAGAGATGCTGTGATAAAGAAGGACATCCCAAGTCCAACTGCAAGGATTGATATTGATAGTATGGATATGGGAAGTCTGGTGAAAAGGAGTGAGGAGAGTGCGGTTAGCAGGAAGGAGAGACTTTTATCTGCCCAGGAGAGACACCCTCGTAGCATGGCTGGACGAGGGGAACTTACTCTTACTGGTGAGATACACTTTACTTGAAGTGGGACTGTAGTTAAGTTCTTATAAGAATATTATGTTGAACATTGTCCATTGTGTGGGGTATATTTAATGTACATAGCATTTTGGAAACTGGATCTGTTTCTGTAGTGAGATATGTGCGCTGAGGGGATCCCATTCACTGAGGGCTCTTACGAAGACTGGACTAAGGTTGCTTCTTGCAAGAGCCAGAAGTACTTAAAAATTATTTTTGTTATATATATTCATAAGCATAAAGGTAACTAACACAGCTGAAGATTAATTCATCATATTGAACATTGTGGGGGTTAAGACAGCAACTAAATTGTTTGATCTCGGTATAGCTTCACCATTATTTGCACATATTCCATTGTTTGATGCAGTTAAGACATGTAGCTGTGTGACTCTAAATTTGCTGATAATTTTGTGTACCTGTATATAAATGGTGAAGTTTTCCTGAGGTGCACACATTCTTAACCTCGCCAGTAGATCCAGGTGACTGATGAGCTTCGCATCACTGCCACTTTACCTGCAGGGAAGGAAACCCAAGTACCCGTTGGATAGGAGGCTGGGTAGACCCCTGAGCCAGCCTGAATGCTATGGAGAAGAGAACAATCTCTTGCTCCTGCCTAGAATTGAACCTCAGTCCCCTGTCTGTCCAGCTTGTAGCCAGTCACTACAATGACTGAGTTACCCTAACTTCCATGTTCCCGCGTGTATGTTTATCATCTATCAGAATTCATGACGAGGTAGTGAGGGTGTGGGCTGGATTCTTTTGACATCATGTGGGATATCTTGTGAACACAGTAATAAATCTTCAGGTCCACAAAAGATGGATGATTTCTTGACTTGTTGAGAAACTAGTAGCTTCTGAGGCACTCTTCTCCATAAAGTTATCACAGTTTATAGATATTTTAGCAAACCATGCACATTTCAGGTGGTTGTTATAACTAACTCCATGGAGCTGAATCCTTCTTGAGAATCTGCCAGTAACTCAGCTGCTCAAGAATTTCCCAACATTTTATGGAACCTGAAGGCTCATTACTGTGTTTACATGCCCATCACATCCATCTTAATGCGATCTTTTCAGGAGGTGGTTCTGTGTTCCTAAAGTCAAAACAACAGAAACAAGAGTCTCCTGTGGTTGCATCATCATCTCCTACACCAGGGGTTGGAATAAGTTCAGCCAGTGATGTGAAACTGGTTCCTTCCAGGGATCAGGCTGAGAATCTTCCAAAGAGTATTCTGAGAGGAGATCAGCAGCGCGCGATAACACCTGGGAAGCCTCTATGGGATGTTGATCCCAGGGAGATGTCCAGTATGTGTTACTGTAAAATGTTACATCATGCTTTCCAGTCAAAACAGAACCAAGTACAGTAATTGCTCATATGAAAACAGCGTTCATTTAGTAGCTAAAAGCTACATATTTGTCACATATTATGTAAAATGTAGGTATCCGATTCACTTGGTGGGGGGTGGAGTCCAACTGTGTCCACTCTGCACAGCAGCCACTGACTGGCCTATTGTAGCCTGCCCTGGGTGATTATGATGATGGAGAATTTGGTGGAATGAAGATTGGCAGGGGAAATTGAAGTACTTGGAGAAAACCTGCCCCAGTGCCACTTTGTCCACCAGAAATCCCACTTGACCAGACCCAGGATTGAACCCGGGCTCCCGCAGTGGGAAGCCAGTGACTAACCGCTTGAGCTATGGCGTGGCCTAGATAACCGATTAGTGACCACAGCTATGATCAAAGCCAGTATTATTACAAAGTTCTTTGTCAGTACAGTCCTAGATTTCTAACCTGCAATGTTCTTTTGAAAATGAAAAAGTTACAGTTTTCATGTGTAGTGTGTACTGAGAGATAGGTTTCTTTTCTTATTAAAATTTCTTTGTGATCCATTCAGTGGACATGGGTCAAGAAATTATTGTGATATCTTTCCACCTGGAAAGAATGGATGAAAGCAGATTTGCTAAAATATGTTAACCGTTATTCATCATGAGTGAGGAGACAAAAGAAGACCACATGAAAGGTAGATAACTTTTGAGTTGAACCTTGGAGCCAGAAGAATCTAGTAAGATTAATCCTTGTGCCTTATGATGGCAAAGAAGATGGGAGACAATGACAACCTTGGGGTTCAGGTTTTACAGTACATCAGTAGCTCTCAGACATCATGATTTTATGATCCCTTCTGTAAAGAATCACAATTTGCAAATTCGCATATAAAATTGTATTCATTTCCAAGAATGTCTTTTTTTCATGTCCCTTCTTCTCATTATAGATATCAACTAGACCTGACTGATCGCTAGACAGCCAAAACTGTATGTAGTGTTTCACAAATTATTTCTGTTATCAAGGGTGGGAAGTGGAACTATATATCTCAACCTTGCAGCTGGAGGAGACTATAAATAAAGCATATTTATAAAGCAAGTAGTAAAGAATTCGACCATCCTCATGACCCATACAATTGTGTTTTTGCCATTCTGCCAACACACACTTCTTTTCCTGTGAACATGCTGAAGATTGTATGAATCCTCAAAGCATTAATGGTTCACAGTCCAGGAATCACTACAGTAATTCGATATCTTTGTTGGAAATTCTATGTGTATATTTGATTCTTCAACAATGTGACATTGAGCGTATGTACCATGTGATATGGTAGGTGAGGAGAAGCAGATGTGGCGCCGTCAGGAGCTTGAAGAAGAGAGGAAGAGTGTCCGCTTCAATTTGGAGCAGGAGTTGGACATCCGTTTCAATCTGTCTGACTTGTCGGACCATGACGGAGAAGAGCAGGAAGAGGAAGATGATGAAGGAGAGGACTGGAATTCAGATGAAGAGGACCCTGATGAGGAGCGTCTTATTGCAGGCATCAAAGTCTCGGGTATGTAGCCTTTTTTCCAGATATAAATGTGAGATGTGTCACAGAGATTGGTCATAACTGTACCTACACATTATATACAAAGTATTGTTTGTAAGTTAAAAAGGTAAGGTAAAATTTTCTCTGTGCTTATTTAATTAAGCATTATGCCATTAAGACATGGGGGAGTGGAGGTATGAGATGGAGGTCAGTGGTCAGCTTCACACCCCAGCCACTTTACCCCATAGGAAAGAACCCCCAGTATCCATTGGATAGTAGGCTGGGAAGGCCACATAGCCAGTCTGGATGCTGTGCAGCAGAGGAAAATTTTACCCCATGCTGGGAATCGAATCTCAGCCAACTATCCCTTGGCCTATTGCTATACTAAAGTCGCCAATTGTGCAACTACTCAAGAAATTGCCAGCATTTTATGGAACCTGCAGATTCATTACCTTGCTCGCAAGAGCCATCCAGTGGTCCCTTTCCTGAGCCAGATCAATCAATTCATACCATCCCATCCTGTCTCTCTAGGGTTGATTTTAATATTATCCACCCACTACTCCTTGTGGTCTCTCTCTTTCTGGCTTTCCCACCAATATCCTATATGCATTCCTCTTTTCCCCATTCGTGCTACATTCCCTGCCCAATCATCCTTCTTGAGTTGATCATTCTAATTATACTTGGAGAAGAGTACAAGTTATGATGCTCCTCACTATGCAGTTTTTTTTCTTAAACATATGGACTGAAAAATATATGTTTTCCTCAATTCTTTGAATCTTTACATTTATTAATTGTTGCATTATTGTAAGGGTTTATTTAATCTTGTTAATTTCTTTTCAGATATTTTAAACCTTATGGATGCATCAGATTTAGAGGAAGCCTCTGCAAGGGAAGGCACCACCAGGAATAAATCTCACACTTCTGTACATAGTTTGGCTGGTAGCAAAAGGCAAGAGTCACTTATATCTGGCAGTCAGGCAGATCCAGAACTGACCAAACATACAAACAGGCCAGGTATAAAGAGTGTGAATGGGACACGATTTACTATAGAACGAGTCCATGAACATGTTCTTTTATCCTCATCACAACAGTCAGAAGGGAACCTTCCACCAAAACAGCCAGAAGAGGTAACTGTGACTGAGCCAGATAAAGAGTGTGATCCACAGTATACGCGTAATGTAGTGTCAAATGTAATTGCCTCAACTGATGTACTAAGCCCTGTAATTTCATCTCCACACTCAGTAGCCAAACCAAAGCAAGGCAGTTCAGATGTTCTGAGTGACAAAATGGTTAAAGTTGTGGATGAAATTAGTGTTACTAAAGAAGATGGTGAGTTAAAGAGAGTTGGCAATCAAGAGGTAAATTACAAGCCTAGTGCCAAAGAGGGACAAGGTCAGGAGGTTCAAACAATTGTTAAACCAGCAGAGAAGACTGAGGAAGCTGTTCAAAAAGAACATCAGGAAATATTAGAAGCAGGCCAAAAAGAATATCAGGAACAATTGGCAGGTCAACAAAAGCATGAAGATGAATTGGCTATAGAAATTCAGAAATTGGAGAAGGAGAATGAAAAAGCATTGCAAAGGCATCGAGAAATATTAGCTCAAAGGCTTGAAGAATCCATCAGTCGCTTGGAAATTGAACAGGTACCTATTTACAGTTTTGTGTAAAATCTACCTAAATAGCCATTCTTTGAGAAGGATTTTCTTTAAATAAGCTGTGTGAAATAATGAAATTGGATTTTTATGCCAGTGTTTTAAAATACTCTCACTGACTAAGTAGCTAAGTAACTACATATAGCTGAGACCTTCTTGAGAAGCGGCCAATTGTGCAGCTACTGAAGAACTTCCCAACATGTTATGGAACCCAGAAATTCATCAATGTGTTCACAAAAGTCCTCCACTGGTCCCTATCCTGAGCCAGATTGATCCAGTCCTTACCACCCCATCCTGTCTCTCTAAGATCCATTTTAATATTGTCCACCCACCTACATTTTGGTCTATCTTGTGGTCTCTTTCCTTCTGGCTTTCCCACCAATATCCTCTATACTTTCCTTCCCCCCCCCCATTCATACTACATGCCATACCAATCTTGTCCTCCTTGACTTGATCATTCTAATTATATTTGGTGAAGAGTACAAGTTATGAAGCTCCTCATTATGCACTTTTCTCCACTCTCCTGTCACTTCATCTCTCTTCGGTTCAGATATTCTCCTCAGCACCCTGTTCACGAACACCCTCAGTCTATGTTCCTCCCTTAATGTCGGAGACCAAGTTTCACACCCATACAGAACCAGACAGCAGATGAGAAGATAAAAGATCCTGGACTCAATGGTAGCAAGCATTACTCAAATTCAGTCTCCTCTTAATTTCCTCCTGAATCAAGTTTTGATTTGTTACTGTTGTTCCCAAATTAACTGAACTGTGCTGTTTCCTATCTTTATGTCATGATTTTGCCTTGCATTCTGGTGATGAGACAACAACATGTACTTAGTTTTCTCTATGTTACTTCTAGACCAACCTCCTTACTAGCATCAGTTAAAGTTTCTGTGTTTTTCTTTATGGTATCTGTGTTATCACCCAGTAGATGAACATCATCAACATAGACCAGCAGGTAATGTGTCCCATTTAATTTCAGCCTTACCTGGTTTTCCTGGACCTCTCTAATTGAATAATCTAAAGCAAAGTTGAAAAGGAGTGGTGATAAAGCATCTCCTTGTTTCAGACCATTCACAAGCTCTATTAATATCCACCTCAGTATCTAAGTTTTCCAAAGCTGCAAACCTATTTGAGATTTCAGCACAGTACTGCTGTTTACTTTCTACCTCGTTTAATTTCTTGAGATTGAACCTCTCCTTATGATCACTGTCACTAACTAGATTATATAGTGTTAAATGGTAGGATGATATACTAATATTGAATTGGAAGGGATTTGGAAGGCAGTAGTAGTGGTCTAATTGAGTTACTATCCCAGCATTTGCCTGCAGAAACTGAGGAAAATCATGATAAATTTCAGTCGGGATAGCCAGATGCATGGGCAAACCTGAATTTAATTATAGTGATGGATGTATGCATACTAAATCTATCTGTATAATTTTTATCCAATATCTGAATAATTCAGTATTAACAGAGTACCAGAAATACTACTTAGATCTGCTAGCCAGTTAATGAAATCTGCTTCACCCTAGTCTGAGATCATGCTTCATACAAATATTTTTATACAGAGTTTTTAAAAAAAATATTTTCCTTCTCTGTTGTTTTTGGTATCTAAATTGTGAACATAATGTTGAGCTTTGTCTAAAGATGATATGTGTTTTAGCAAAAACATCTGGAGATGTTACGATGTCAACTTACAAGAAAGGAAGAGGAAGATGAAGCTAGGCTCAAGTTGCAATTAGCAGAAAAGATGGCAGCTTTTGAGTCAGACCTCAAGACACAGCAGGAGAACCGTGAGAAATGTATACGGTAGGCTTACCATAACATCTGCAGATGGTAGTTAAATGATAAATCCCTGTGGACACTGGACACTTAATCTGGTAGATAATCTGGCTTTCCTCTTATATTTTCTTTGCATGTAATGCATAAACTGAACACATAGTGGGGTGGTCCTTCCTTTCTCCTCACTTCTAACTAACAAACATCATGGAGCTGACCCCTTCTTGAGGAGCTGCCAATTGTGCAGCTACTCAAGAGCTTCCCTGGAACCTGCAGGTTCATTACCATGCTCACAAGAGATGCCCAGTGGTCCCTATTCTGAGCCAGATAAATCCAATCTGTACCATCCCATCCTCTCTCTCTAAGGTCAATATCCTATATGCATTCCTCTTCTCCCCCATTCATGCTACATACCCTTCCCATTTCATGCTCCATGACTTGATCATTCTAATTATACTTGGTGTGGAGTACAAGGCATGAAGCTCTCCATTATGCAGTTCTGTCTAGCCTTCCATTACTTCATCTCTCTTCAGTCCATGTATTCTCCTCAGACACCCTTGGTCTGTGTTCTTCCCTTAATGTCAGAAGCCATGTTTCACGCCCATACAGAACCACAGGCAAAATTATGGTTTTGTATGTTTTAATTTTTATGTTTTTAGACAGCATACGAGAAGACGAAAGTTACTGAAAAGAATGGTAGCGAGCATTACCAGAATTCAGTCTTTTAATTTCCTCTTGAATCAAATTTTTTATTTGTCACTGTTGTTCCCAAATGTCTGAACTGTGCCACATTTTCGGAGCAAGAAACCAATTTGAAGCTAGCTATACCTGCTTCATGCTTGTGTCTTGCTTGACTTATTCTTAAACTCTGAAGATGGAGTAGGAGTGCTCCTCTGAACATGGGTTTACTTTCAGTGGACTGTGCAACAGTATATCCCAGAAGACAGAATTCTTCATAAGCATGTTTCTTTATGACACATTTGTCTAAAATATCTGTTGACTATCAATGGACTGGATGACATTACTTTTTTTTTTATTGCTAGTCTGGTGGGACTAAGTCCCTTGTACTGCGGCCACTTCTGGCATATTGTACCAGCCCCAGATGATAGGTGAGAGTGATTGTGGAGTAAGTGGTGGAATTGCAGGGTAAACTGAAACACTCAGAGAAAACCTGCCCCAGTGCCACTTTGTCCACCACAACCTGGGCCGCCGTGGTGGGAAGCCAGTGACTAACCGCTTGACCTATGGCGTGGCCCTGCATGACATTATATCTTGGAAGATGGATCTCTTCAGTGATAATTTTGTAGTAAGCTGAATGGATGTTACAGGGAGAACATGGAGGCATCACTACAGGAACTAAGAGAGACACTTGCAGTGGAACATGGGGCACAGATTCAGACCTTGAAGCATGAGGAGGAGAAGATCCGTTTGCAACGAGCAGAAGAATTCGAGAAGAGACTAGAGGATGATAGAGTACTTCTTGAGCAGCAGACTTCAGAACATGCTGCCAAGTTTGAACAAGAACTGGCACAGAAGTTGGAGAAGGAACGTGCTCAGCTGGAAAGAGCTCATTATGAACATCTGCAAGAGCTTATTAGGAAGAATGAACTGGAAAATGAGGCCACAATAACCCAACTGCAAGCAGAACTGTCAGCTCACAAAGATGAGCTTCAGCAGGCTCATTTAAAGGTAACTTATTTTGATTGTTCAAATAATTTAATAGTTATTACCAGTTAGAAAATGCATGGAATAAGTTAAGACCTACAATGAGTGCCGGAGATCATATAACAGATTTAAAGAATTTTATGTGGCATGAGATTGTATCTAGAATTTATCTTCAGGGGTCATTTTTTAAATTAGTGTGTGACATATTTCATTACACAATCACATGCACTATGCTACAAGCCGGAAGGTTGTGGGTTCGAGTGCCAATGAGGTGGATTTTTTCATTTGACCTAATCCTTCCAGCCACACTATGGACCTGGGGTTGACTCAGCCTCTAACAGAAATAAGTACCAGGAATCTTCCGGGGGGGAGTGTAAAGGGTGGTTGGCATGTAGGGATGGCAACCTTACCGTCATCTGTGAGCCGATTGTCTAGATAATGTGGGACCCCCAATATCTCACAATCCTATGGGCCTCCATGGCCTGTTACAGGGATAGCTTTACTTTTTACTTTACCTCTATGCAGCATACAAAATCTTATTGTCATTTTACTTTATGAGCAACTGACCTGTATAAGAAATAAATGAATGCCAAGATGAAACGCACTCAAAATTATAAAAATATGTTTGGAAATAATGCATTCCAAAGTGGAGGATACCCTTTATTTTTTACTACATGCTCTTGACACATATGTTTATCCTTTTATCAGTAACTTTTTATTTTTTCATTAAATTCTGTCACTCGTTCTCTAAATTTTCATGTAAGCCAGAATGTTATAGTCCTTATTCTTTCAGTACTTATTCTGAATACAAAAGATGTAAATACTGACTTACTCTATAGGCCACATCACAGCATATGGTTCAGTTATTTTCAAGTGCACTCACCCACCTACCCAATAGAAGAATATTGCCGTACTCTAATTATCTGAATACTTTCAGTATTCTGAGTATTTATTCACAAATAAGATAGACTTCATAAACAAGAGATTATTTACATGAGACAAGTGGAGTGATGCAGGGAAAGATTACATCATGTGGATTTTGTTATTTGAATGTGTTAGGGGTCCGGTATAGAAAACCGAGAGTAATGGCTGTGGGGATTTGTTGCGCTGACCACGCAACATCCTCTATCCGCAAAAGTTGGCACTAACTTTGCCGACAAGCAGCAGTCGCTCGGTCAGTATAGTTAGTTCCTCAGAACTCTGGCCTTGGTAGAGGGGTCATACCATCTATCGTGGGGCTGGGGGAGCAGACTTATCAGCTTATGTCAGTGTGGGTACTACCAGTTTGGAATGTAGCGTCTTGGAGTGTGGTCAGGTGTATCGATTCCATGGTATCTACTCATGGTCTCCATAGGCAATGTTTTCTGCTCGGAGAGTAGCTCTGAACATTACCACAGCAAGCGTACAGCTTCGTGTGCTGCACAACAGCGTTTACCTTTCCACGCAGCTAAAGTTACGAGGCACTAATAGTACAGGCCACAGAGGTTTTTTTTTTTTTTTTTCCTCCTAATTTATGTGTTAGGGGAGACAGATTAAAGCACATGTGGCTTAGTTTGTTGAGACATGAGGCATATATTGACTGGGGGACCATTTGGAAAACTGAAGAGGAAGTGGGAGGATAATATTCAAGTGAATCATAGATAAATTTGTTGGTCAGGATGTGAACTGGCTCAGGATCATGTCGAGAGGCTGATTCTTGTATTAACAGACTCTTCTACATATAGTTAAGTACTTATTCATATTGTGTTATTGAATTAGTTAATTGTGGACTGGGTTTATTTGGGTGAGGGTAGAGTCTAATAGCTGGCTTTTGTAAAATGGAAATGAATCTCCATATTCTATGAAAGGAGGGCCTTTCTTCATCAGCTAAGTAGTAATTATTAGCTTTGCAAGGAAGATTTTCTATCTTGGCATTGGTTAGTTAGCTGTTTAGATAATTGAAAGACTGAATATTGGTCACAGATTTTAAAGGATGCAATTCAAATGTGCAAAAAACAAGGCTTGTTTTTGTTATTGTTTTTGTTATGGCCTGCAGGAGATGACTGCAATAGATGTACAGATACGTGAAATGCGGACAGCAAAACTGTTGGAGCTCGATGAAGCCACGAGGAGGAATGAGTCAATTGAAAAGTTGAAGAGTGACATGGAGCACAAACTGGAGCAGAAGCGGCTTGAGCTCACAACTGAGCATGAGGCTATTGTCATAGAGCTAAAGGCAGAGAATGCTCTTCGAATTGAAAAGCTGAAACTGGATTTAAGAATGGAGGTGAGTTTGTATAAACTTTTATAACATAATTATGATCAATATTGTACAGGTTCCATTGTCTGTGTAAAAAAAAAGATTATGAAACTGAAGAAGAGACCAGGGCCCTACAAAGGGCTGTAGAGCCATTGATGAGTGAATGAATTGTACAGGTTCTTCAAGTATGTGTTTTCATCTACTTTTGTTACTGGTGAGAAGATCTAGGTGGGCCAGTCGTGTGGACCTGTCTGGCCTGGGTGTCTCTACCATTATAAGGTAATAGTCTTTGGGGAGGAATGTTAACATTATATCTATTAATTCCATAATAGCAGTTTTATTTTACTAATGCAATCACCTGTTTCAGGAGGAACAGGTTCGTAGGGAACATACAGAACGGCTGAATGAACTTCGGGCACGTCTGAGTCGTGAGTTAGAGCTAGAACAGCAGAGACTGTTAAAGCCCAATGAACAGCAAAGTGACTCAGCGCGCCAGGAATTGTTAGAGAGCTCCAGGTAAGTCCCATCTTATGAGGGACACTGTAAATAGTCATTAGACCTAGAATAGCAGAGTGACCTAGCCTGCCAGGAATTGATGGTTCCAGATTAGTCCTGTCCTGTAAGAGACACTGTATAATCAGTAAAGCACTGACAAATTCTGTATTATATAATCTGTCAACTGTTCACAAAAAAAAAAGTGAAAATTGAGTATGAGTATGAGTATCATTGCAGGGAATTTCTTTACGAGATAAGCAAGTATCAGATTCTCGGTAAGGACTGTGATCCATGTATGTAGTTGTCTGATTGCTTGGCTGGTCAGTTTATCGTCATTTCTGCAAGAAACGTTAATTTTTAAAGTACAGTAGTCACTATCTGTACCACATGCCTTAATGTTAGGTAACTGAATTTTGCTCATACAGTATATTTGTGAATTTCACATGATTTTCAGAATAAACAGTATTTATTTCTCTAATGATCATTACTTGGTGGTCTTTGTAGTGGAGACATGATGTGTTTTGTGAGAGATAACTGAATTTTTAAATATTAATTAAATTAAATTTGTGCTTCAAGGGTTTGGGATTGCGCTATGTTTAATGTATGAAACTGCAGTAGAATCCTTTTTTTGTTGACTGACCTGTTAGAACACCAACAGGCACACAGGCAGTGAATTGTTAAGTCTTGTTTCATCTGAACTGTACCTTGTGTCTCTGCTGCAGAGTGTTTGAAAAGCTCCGCTGTGAGAAGCGCCTGTTAGAAGATAAATATCGCTCACTCAAAGAGAAGTACATCAGACTGAAAACAGATGTAAAGATATCAATGGAGAGACGCAAACGACGTGATGCTGGTGGTACCACAACGGGATCGGAGACTGAACGTTCTACATCGCACAAAGCAGGGATTGCTGGTGCTGTGTCTGTTGATGCCAGGTGAGCCTGAGGTGATCAGGGTTTCTACAGTCATACAAATCATGTACTTTGATTTTGGACAGGTAGTTATGTATGTCAGTCTTTCTCTTGGTCACACAACTCCTGGTGTCGGTCATGTAAGAACCAATTTTTAAGATATTTGATATGAATATTACACTATTGCAAGTCACGCCAACCTCATACTTTTTAATTTCATACAATCAGCAATATCAATATTGCAGACATAAGTACTTGTTAGGTGGAACAAACATTGATGGTATTTAAAATTACTTGAAACTATGTATGGTAATAGATCTTTGAAATGATATGCAACATTTTTTGAGACAGTTTTTTTTCTTGCAGGATATAAAACAATATGGCAGCTATGAAAAGAAAAATGTTGTTTAGTTTTTAGACTGACAGTTATAATTAATGTATGAGCGGAGCTAGGAATATGAAATTTACTATAAATATAGATTATACACATACTTATGAATTATGTATGACATGTGTTTTATAAAGTTAACAATTGCAAATGTGACATGCTAAAGCTTTGAGGTTATATGTGATGAAGCAGACCTTAACACTTTGCAGACTGTGCACCCTTTAAAAGGTTTTTCGCTTTTAAATATGGCAGACTGTTCACCTGTTAACAGGTTTTTAGAACACGATAAGTTGCAACACACTATACATCTCTCTGGCGCCGCCCAAATGAATGACTACTGTGTAATATTACTCCGGAATGTTTGCCTAGTAGGTGGTAACTTGACCTCACTGTTTTGGTTCCCCCTCCAAAGGAAAATAATCTTTGACCCTTCAAGCTGTTATGTACCAGGCAGGATGTGAGTGCAATATGAATCAAGGACAGAAGCGGTTGAAGACGAAGCGATATCTCGGAGAAAAAGAAATATCATACTCGTTCTCCAATGAGCTATTTGACATGCCTTGTGAGAGGAGTAGTGAAACTGAGACAGTGGCAGTGACAGGGGTCAACAAACAAGTGTAGCCACAGACAATAAAAGTGAAAGTAGCTCCAATGAAAGTGCAGGTAGTAAAATTGCGGGTACAGCCATATGGGGAAAAGTAGACAAAACACCTACTTTGGGACAGGTTACTGGAAATCCAGGGGTGAAACAAATTCCATCGGATACAACGCAAGTGTCTGAAGAAGGAGAACTGTTTTTTTGGAGACAGAGAACTCTTGTTGTGACTATGATTCCCACAGTTCACAATTCGAGCATGGTTCATGTTCAAGGAGACATGGACAAGTAAAGAAGCCTATTTGTATTTCTGAGTATAATATGTTCATGAAGGGAGTTGATAGAGCTGATCACTACTTGGCCTATTATTCTCTCTAGATAAACAATAAAGTGGACAAAGAAATGAAGAAAGCAGTCTTCTGGGATTTGGCACCGTGTATATGTGGTGGTGCCAAATCCCAGAAGACTGCTTTCTTCATAGTCACCGCCATGAAAGCCTCAAATCTTACATGGACAAAGAAAGTTGCCTTGTGACTTATAAATTGTGCCATTTTCAATTCATTGTTGGTTTACAAAAATCTAAACCCCAATTCGAAATTGAAATACAAAGCATTTCTGATGAATGTGGGAAAGGCCTGGGCTACAGACCGGATGGTGGCGGCAGAATGAGAGTCAGACAAAGACTTAGTGGGACTGGGACCATCAACTCCCACCCCTCTCAGGCCTCATGTGGACCCCCCTGGGCGACTCTCGGGTGATATGCGGAAATATACCCTTGTGAAAATTGTGAAGAGTGAACATTCCAAGGGGAAGCATCCTTCTAGGCAATGTCGTGTTTGCACAGTTCACAGAAAAAGGAGCATGACTGCCTACATTTGCAAGTTCTGTGTAATGCCACTTCACAAAGGGGAATGTTTCCAGGAATATCACACTTTCAAGCACTTCTAGGAGCATTGGTAAGTGTTCTCCAAAAATTTTAGTTCATAGAATTAATTACGAGATTTTATATTAATTTTTAAATTGAACAGTGCACAAGTTGGGGTAGTAGGTTTAAAAATGCTGGTCCCCAGGGTGAATTAAATATTTAAATTGCTGGTCCGCAAAGTGTTAAGCAATACTATTCTGTTTCTCATTACCATACCTTATATTGGAATAAGGGATCCTGTGGTAAAAAACATTTAACTGAATTGTTGTTTAGTGATTATAACAACACACATTGTCACATACTTCCAATACTTTTCCCAGAGTGAAAGAAATTTGCTTGGACTCAAATCCCTACACAGAACAACATAATTTCTGATTTTCCAAAGTTTTCCTTTTTAAAACAAATACGTTACATATTTTCAGTTGTCTTCTATTGTCATCAGTTTCTGGACACAGAGCATGGCTGTTAGGTGGATGGAGATTGCGATTTATGCATGTGTGGGTGTGTGCACGTGCTTGCCTGGAATTGCTTGTTATACATGTAAAATACTGTGGCATTGTGCAGGAACTGTTGAGCCACAGAGGCCTCGGGGCATGCTTGCAACGTGAGAGTTGCAGAATGTATCAGCGCATTGCTAGGCAACAACTCTGTGAACACTTGGATTGCTCAACAGGAAGTGTGAGTGATGTCACAGCCTAGCGGGGAGGGGTGTTTACCGAGTGTTGCATTGTTACGGGATGAGTGGAGTATGTGACGTCACTCGCACTTCCTGTTGCACAATTCAAGTTTTCACAGAGTTGTCGCCTAGCAACGCGCCGATACAATCTGCAACTCTCACGTTGCACGCATGCCCCGTGGCCTGTGTGGCTCAACAGTTCCTGCATAGAGCCAATACACCACTTTGCTCCCTCCTTAAGGCTGTTCATCCCAAATAGCCTAACGGTGCATCCCCGTTCCTTTTCTTTCAAGGCTGTGCTTGCTGTGTCTTCTTTTGGTTTGGATACTCCTCTTGCAGCGACTATTCTCAGGCCGTTACAATACATATTTTTTGGAAGTTCACCAAATTTCTTTTATATTTTAAATTAGAATTTGTTCCACCTACACTGATTATAGCTAGTAACTAATGGATATAGCTGTTTGCTTTCATAAAAGTTTGACTCACAGCTTAATCTTGTATTTGAGCATTTAAGGCTATCTTTTTGTGTTCGTGGCAGTGTTACAAGTGGAAGCTGGTTACCATGACTCTCTGCAGGTGTTTTGATTGATATTGATGCTGACAGGGGTCGCCAGCAAGCTGGTGGTAGTGGTGGCAGTGGGTCTGCAGCAGAAAAGCAGCGCTGTAACAAGAAACAGACTGCCGCAGTGGAAGTTGTATCATCAGACAATAAGATAGTTACTGTGGAACCTGTTAGCAACAACAATAAGACTGCAACTGCAACAGATCCAAAAAACTGGCAGGCAACTGCTCAGCTCTCACCTGAGCAACCGAGTGGTAAGCGAGGTGAGGACAGTGTGGACAGTGACAACATATCGTCTTCTGTGTCTTTACAGCCCCACAAAGGAGAGAAGCATTCAGGTATTTGCGATATTGTTTATGTGACTTTAAGATAGAACTTAACATTTATTTGCGTGACATTGTTAATGTACAGTTCTTCAGCACCATAAGATGCTATTTGCTGTTTTGTTTATTAACGCAGGACAATAATTGAGGCATGTAATTTAAGATCTTCATCAAACCTGCTCTGCTGGTTAATGACATTAAAATAAAGTTAAATTTACTGTAACTTCATGGGATTTGAGGTTCTGCCTGCTACCTGCTTCACACTGGTTTCCTTGCTTGGCTTATTCTTCAACCCTGAAGATGGAGGCAACATATTCTTCCAAAACATCAGTTGACTTTCAGTGAACTACATAGTGTTATATCCCAGAAAGCAGAACTCTTACTTTCCCTGAGAAATGACATAGGCATTAAACTTAAATCTCCTCTAATCATTTGTTTGCTATTGTGTTCACATGCAGGCCTTCTTGACAGTTGCTACTGTTTTGTCCTATAAATCAAGGAGAGCTACTTTTGAATAAAATATTCTCATTGTCACTGCCTTAAGAACATAAAATCTCATGACTATAACTACTGATTGTAAAGAATATCATTACAGATTTAAGCAAACCTCTTGAAACTTTCTAGATCCTACGGATGCATATAACACAAATAATAACCGCAGACGTCGTCAGTTATTTGGACGTCTGAAATCGTCATCCACCTCCCGTCTTCTCCAAAACAATAACAACAACAACAGTGGCAGCAGCAACAACAGTAGTGGACATGGAGAAACCTGTGGTAACCAAGGTGATGACTCTTCATGCTCACCTGTTGAGAACCTCCGAAGGCAGCTGCAGAAGCTTGAGGACCTAGAGGATCAGTTCCCAGCATCCACCCACACTGACACATACCTGCGATATCCGTTCACCACAGACTCAGGTTAGCACTATGTCAAGCTTGTGAAAAAGAAATGTATGGAAACCCAGAGGTTCACCATCATGTTGTTTACAAAATTTTGGTCTTCTGGGATGTGTTACTATGTAGTTTGGTACATAGGTCCCAATGCTGTGGAGGGACCCACTATTCCCATCTTCAAGGTAATTTGCCTTGAAATAGGAGACCAAAGGTTCCTCTGAAATGTTGATACCTAGCTACAAAGCCATATGGCATCCTGTCAAAGATTAATCTTGATACTACCATGAGAACCTTAAACTCACATTCACAAGAGTCTTGCCACTGGATTGTATCTTGCATCAGTTCAGTCCAGCCCACACCATCACACATATTTCTTTAACACCCATTTTAATATTATCATTTCATAATTCAGAGTGAATAAAATGAAATTCAGTCTTGATCAGGTGTAGTACTTCATAAATGGCCTGTTTTGTTTGAAAGAATGAGATGATAGTTCTTAAGAACATAAAGTGAACACATGGTAGGAAGTCATGTGTGTCCATCTGTGTACATGTTTTATCTCCAGACCATTTTAGTAAATTCTGTTAAAATTGATTATTTGGAGAATATGCAAAAATGTACTGGTTGAAATTTCTTTCAATATATCAGTCCATAAAAATCATACTGTATAGGAAGGTAAAATTAAAGTTTCAGCAAGCTTATCAGGTATTTTTGTAAAGAACTAGTATGCAGAGACCTCACTGAGACATATAAATGTTAATTTGGAACATTTTAATATGTATATTTAAGGATCTAAATTAATTTATTTTTCTATGCTGTTTAATGTCTCTTTTATTTTGATTATAAAGGGCATGTAGTAGCATAGTTGGTTGAGGCACTGTGCTACAAGCCGGAAGGTCACAGGATTGAATCCTGATGAGGTTATTGGATTTTTCAATGGACCTAATCCTTCTAGTCACACTGTGGCCCTGGGGTTGGCTCAGCCTCTAATAGAAATGAGTACCAGGAATTTTCGTAGGGGGTAAAAGGTGGCCGGCTCATAAGGCTGGCCATCTTTCCGCCATCTGTGAGCCGACTGTCTAGAATATGTGGGAGCCTGGACCTCTCACACTCCTATGGGCCTTCATGGCCTGTTACAGGGACAGCTTTACCATTTTTTTTTTTATTTTGATTATCAGAAATACCTGTACTGTTGATTACTTCTATCTTTAATAAATTCATATATGCAGAAAATTATAAATGAACATCAAGACCAGTTAGATATGCAAAATGGCATAGGAAATTGGAATACATGTTTATATTCTTGTGTATGTTGGACCCGTATTGCTTACTTGTGACAGCATTGTTATATTAGCTGCAGCCCTCAAGTTGACAAATCCTTCCCCTTGGTGCTACAGCTTTGGCCTCCTGAACAATCTGCCTCCATTCTTCTCTATTTCCTTTCACTTTCATTTTACAGAGATCATCAAGCACATCCTCCAAACATTTCACCTGGGTCTTTCTATCTTCCTTGTCTATTCATCCGAGGCTGATTATCTGGTTTCTGAACAATTTAGTTTTTACAGTGTGAGGTTGTCAGCCTCCTGCCCAACCCCTGACCTGGAGGACCAGGGTGTCCCTCTTCATCTGGCTTCTACCCCTTGACTTGTCCAGTATGGGTGACTCTATCAGTAGCTACACTACCGCCAGCATAGCTCTCAGTATCTCAGGAGTATTCAAACCCCACCACCACAATAAGGTGGAGACACCATTGGTGGGGAGGTAGAGAAATATACAGATATAATTCAGAGCATGTAAAACATGATCCAGATTAAAGCTGCAGCATTATTGTAGATTAAAATATCTATGTGTATGTTTTGATGTTTTATGTATTTACAGAGATTATTTATTGTCAAATAAGAGGAGAGGATGAATATGTGGAATGCACAGAAAGGAAGCAGTTGTGACCACTTTGCAAATACTGTTGCATAATTTATATGAATAGGAAATAAGGAAAATAATGAAAGGCATATCAGTGTAGTTAGTAATCGAGTTGAAATTCAGACCAGGTGATATCATATGTTAGAAATAAATTGATTATAGTAATCAAGGATATATGCATTACCAGTATCTATTGTTAGTGTATTGTCATACATTTGTAGATCATACAGCAGTTCACAGGCTAATTCATATATTCTTTAGTCTGACCTCATTCCTTGTAATCAAACTTAGCAAGTATTATATGTGTTAGACCAGGGTAATAGTTATTTCAGCATACTTCAGCCCCTTCTTGTCTCTCATAAATACCCCAGCTCATCAGTTGGACAGCATTTAGATTCTTTGGTATGGTTAGTAGGAGAACAAGGAGTGGAATGAATCAGTTTCTTTTATTAAGTAAATTATTATTCATCATATTCATTTAGGTATTAATTATGTTGGAGAACCTACACAGTTTACTGTCTATCCTCTTGTCATCTTTCACATTTAAGTCCTTGCATTACAATGCAATTTTATCTACAAATGATGGTTTACACTTTGCTTGTCTAGTCATATTCCTCAATCCAACAATGAAATTAGTTTATCCTTGTGCGTTTGGCTGATGTCCATGCACATGTTTAGACCTGTCATTCTGAGAATCAGTTACCAGAATTTTCATAACTGAGCAACAGAAATTTTGGAAAATGCTGTACAGTACAAGTTACAGGAAAAATAATTTTCAGTTTAATAATAATAATAATAATAATAATAATAATAATAATAATAATAATAACAACAACAACAACAACAATAATAATAATAATAATAATACTACTACTACTACTAATAATAATAATAATAATAACAATTTAGAAAATTATATAGTATACATATGTAGTTATTAAATGTTTGGTTTGTTACAGTTACTGGACTTGGTCCCATGATGTTTTATATGTTTAGATACGTGGGACCAGACTTTGTTGTGACTGTGGCTTACTGTAGAACATATTTGTTATAGGTGGTGTACCCAGTTCAATAATGATGTTGTCATATGCAGGCCAGTTGGGCAGTTCAGAGCTAGAATTCTTTCGTCATCGGATCCACTTGGAACGTGACTCTGTACGGAGAGCTAAGGACTTTCTGAGAGCACAACGCACAACCTTCCAGTCCAGGCAGAAGGAACTTAAACAGCGACAGCTAGATGGCAGCATAACAGCGCGCAACATGCTAGATCAGCTTTACCAGGTAAGAAAAGATTCTACCACTGAACACAGCAGCCTGACACGGAGCTGGAGCCTTGTTGGACATCTGCCCAACAGGCATACATTACCAGTTTCTTAACACTTTGCGGACCGGCAATTTAAATATTTAAATCACCCTGCGGACTGGCATTTTTATACCAACTACCCTAACTTGTGCACTGTTCACTTTAAAAATTAATATAAAATCTCCTAATTAATTTTATGAACTAAAATTTGTTGAGAACACTTACCAATGCTTCTAGAAGTGCTTGAGGGTGTGATATTTCTCAAAACATTCCCCTCGGTGAAGTGGCATTACACAAAACTTGCAAATGTAGACAGTCCTACTCCTTTTCTTGTGAATTGCCTAGAAGGCTGCTTCCCCTTGAAATGTTCACGCTTATCACCCGAGAGTCGCCCAGGGGGGGTCAAAATGAGGCCTGTGTGGGGTGGGAGTAGACAGCCCAGGTTGTACTAAGACTGTGTCTGCCGCCACCGTGTGGTCTGTAGCCCAGGCTTTTGCCACATTCAGCAGAAATGCCTTGTATTTCAATTTTGAATGAGGGTTTAGATTTTTGAAAACTAAAAATGAATTGAAAATGGCACAATTTATAAGCCACAAGGCAACTTTCTTTGTCCACTTTATTGTTTTCCAAGGAAGAGAATAATACTCGTAGGCCAAGTACTGATCGGCTCTATCAACTCCCTTGATGAACATATTCTACTCGGAAATACAAACAGGCTTCTTTACCTGTCCATGTCTCCTTTGAACATCAACCATGCTCGAATTGTGAATTGTGGAAATCATATTCACGACACGAGTATCCCTCCAGGACTGAAGAAGCATATCCCCCTTCCTTCTGAATGTGGTTTCACCACATTTCAGGGATTTACATTCCTCTTTCAGATCTGGAGGAAGGCCTCTGTTCACCCTAATTGTTCCACAAACACGTACTTTTCTCGAAAATAGGTGTTCTGCAGTTGCCACACTGTTATAATAATTGTCTTGATAGACATTGTAATTTTGATCAAGATAGGGTTCCAAAACGGAAAGAATAGTTTCTTGTAATTTCTTTCCTTCACCAGAATAAATTTCTAAATTTCCAATATAGCCTGAAGTGCTTTCAGTAACTACACGAACAAGTAGGCCATACTTTGTAAGTTTCCCAGGATTGTATGTTCGCATACGAAGCCTTCCCCTCCAAGGATTCACAGATTCGTCCAAAGACAGTTGTTGGTTTGGCTTATAAACTGTTTGAAATTTCTGAACGAAAAAGTTCAATAACGGCTGAATTTTGAAAAGCCTGCTTGTTGATTGTGGTTGCAGTTCATTATCATTGAAATGCAAACACCACCAAATTTGCTCAAATCTCTTATGGTTCATTATTTTACCAAAAATTGGAATTTCTAAAAATGGATCTGTTGACCAATACTCTTTCAGATTATCCCTCCTTGTATGGCCCATTAGAAAGATGATTGCAAAAAATTTTCTCATTTCTGCTGAAGTGACATCCACCCACTTCAACGCCTTATAACTTCTGTCATAATGTTCACGGTGTTGGAGATAGTATCTGTTAGTTTCCTGACATAGCATGTCAAAGAAACTATCTCCAAAAAACAGTTCCGCTACTTCAGACACTTGCGTTGGGTCCGATGGAATTTGCTTCACCCCTGGGTTTCCAGTAAACTGTCCCAAAGCAGGCGTTTTGTCTACTTTTCCCCATGTGGCTGTCCCCTCAATGTTGCTACCCGCACATTCGTCGGAGCTACGGTCACTTTCACTTTCAATGTCTGTGGTCACAATTTTTTGTTTGCCTCTGCCACACTCACTATCAGATTGTGAGTCACTATCACTAGCAGACTCACAAGGGACGTCAGATAGCTCATCGGAGAAGAAGTCAGATATTTCTTGTTCTCCAAGAAATCACTTGGGTGTCAACCGCTTTGGTCTTTGATCCATATTGAACTACGGACTGACAGCTTGCTACGTAAAGCTTGAAGAAATAAAGGCATTTATTTTCCTTTGCAGGGGCATAGAGTTACAGCGAGGTCTAGTAACTGATTGGTCAGTGGACATTCCAGAGTCTTATAACGCAGCTGCAAGCAGCTACGTGCTAGCTAGGTGGAGCCAGAGAGATGTATAGTGTGTTGCAACTTATCGTGTTTTAAAACCTGTTAACACGTGAACGGTCCGCCATGTTTAAAAGTGAAAAACCATTTAAAGGGCGCGCAGTCCGCAAAGTGTTAAGGAGTAAATTAATGAAGATCCCCAGACATATCTATACCAGCATACCTGTATTTTGATATGAATGTGGCCGTTGTCTTTCATATTGTTTTCGTTATCGTATGAGAGTTATTGATATTACAGATACGTGGAGTGTGAAGTGTATAGTTTCCTGGTGTTGTGTGTTTTAGGAAGAACGTGAATTGACAGATATGGAAGTAAGTTTACACAGGACACGAAGTCTTCTGGGAGAGAAAATAATTCGCCTGCGTCATTTAGAGCAATCATTGCATCGGGCCTCTTCTCCACGGCCTAAAAGTCATGAAAAAATTGAATCCACAGAACATGCTACGCTGAGTGACCTGAGCTCACACAGTGGGTCATCTGGGTTTAGCAGTACTGAGTTGGGCACTGACATCCAGCTAGGTTAGTTGAAACTTGTTATATTGTATGTGAGATCTGTCAGTTAAATAACTGGACTGATGGTTTTCTTTGCAGCAGCTGGCAGCACTGGTACATTGGCATGTGTTCTACCACTCGACTATGTGAATCAACCATTTTGCATCAAACCATCTTTGTGATCCAGTTAGTTGTATAGGGATTCTTTTTAAGTTAGTTGTTTACTGTTCTGTACTGGGACCACTATTATTTCTTATTTACATTAATGATTTCCCATCTTCCTTAAGAAAACTAGCTCAGCCTGTATTATTTGCTGATGACACAAGTATTATTGTATCTAATTTGAATCCTGAAAAATTTAGAAGTAATGTTACCTTAATTTTTAATGAAGCAATGATATGGTTTAAAAAAAACTTTTTAACTCTAAATTGTGATAAAACACAGTTTTTACAATTTTTCCTAAAGAAGCATAGAGAAATAGAAATCCAAAGTACAATTACTAATACATTAATTACAAATATTAATTGTTCAAAGTTTTTGGGAATAAATATAGATAGTTCATTGTCATGGAAAAATCACTTAACTTTATTATCAGTAAGACTAAGCAAAGCATGTTTTGCAATAAGGGCAATAAAACCCTTTATGTCATTGGATACAATAAAGACGATTTATCA